ATCGACGGTTCCCATTCACAGAGCTATCCTAGGCCTAAATACGCATTAATAGAGACTATACAGCACCAAAGGAAAATATATTAGCTGTCTAACTACAGCCAAGATCTCTAAAAACACGGAAAATTGTACCATATACTTTATTGAGCAAAAATGACAACATTAAAAGGTAATAGAAACACGGTGAGATACAAATTGAGATTGAGACAGATACCCAAAATAAAACCCGATTTAGAAAGCTTTTTCAAGCAGCCGTCGGATCGGTGACGACGCGATAGAAGCCGTTGTTGCAGGTGAGCAGATTCTCACGCACCTTCTTCTTCAAAAAGGCGACCACCTAGAAGATATATCGATTCTAGGGAGCCAGAGACTGCCAAACCTGTTCAAGCGTCAACGATTGAATGCCAAACATTTTGTAGATGCCGAAGAGACGCTCGGCTTTCATTTCTTTGCCTTCTTGGCTTCCCTAAAAACATTGTGAAAGTCACGAATCTGTCAAATCAGTCAAAATGTCGGAAAACGAAAATTAAAATTCGAAAAACATCGAATTATCCGAATCTCGAGTTCTCATAAGCAGCCTTTTTCAAACAAGAATTTTCCTCTGTTCCACGCCAACCCACAATAAATGTTCTTGTGTAGTTCCAGTACTGCTCGAGCTCCTCCATTGGGCCGCCCCCATCAGCCCGTTCGCTGTCGGGATCTTCCAAATCCTCATCCTCCTCCTCATCTTGCTCAGCGTACTGAAAAACAGGGTAGAGGACGTCAAAAAAAGCTAAATTCACCTGTAACCGATCGATATCTTTCGTTTGGGTAGTAAGGGACCACGTATCCTCTCCGGTGTGCACGAGAATCCGCTGAATACAATCGGTATACAAGACGTGTAGAATTAATTTTCTACCTGTGACTGCCAGAAGCCGAGGCGCTTCAGAATAGCGCTTCGTGACACCTTCAGCGTATCGACCAATTGGCCAGTGGTCCAAGTTTCTAGAGGAAGATCAGATCAATAAACTGAGAAATTTACCTTGTTCCAAAAATGGGTAGAGCACCGAAGCCGTGGCATTCGTTACAACTTTTTCAAACTCGACGCCGTCGAGGGTGAGTCGCAGCTCGACGCATCTGAAAAATTTGTTTTAAAAACTAAATAAAATTACCCGGCAGCGCGAAGCCATAAAATCCTCCGATCCGGCTTCATCTTTTGGAATTCCTTCTCGAAAACCGTCAACTGAGTTTCGATCACGTCGGGAAAAAGCTGAAAAGATAAGAAAATTTCTATCAGCCTTTACCGTGACTTTATCCTTGTTCATATCCGGCCAAAAGTAGGTGGAGATTGCTCGTACGCTCAGTGGAAACTGCTAAAAGAATAAGAATGAATATCAAACGACGGCGCAAACCAGTTCATTTTGGCGTAACACAAATTGCATCATTTTCTCGCTGTCGCTGATATCCTTTAGCATGACCTCGCACTGTTGCAGCTCGGCTTCGGTGAAACGGAGACGAAGTAGGCTCAGGTAGCGCGACTCGAAGCCGGGCTAAATAAATAAGATAAAATTGGTTTCAAAAACCCTGCTTACATCTTTGTAGGCAGCCTGTGTCAACCGCTCGGCAAGTAGCTGACGATATTCTTTCACAAACGAATCTTTGCTGCCATAGATTGAGACGAGCATTGTGAAGACGTCAGCTGATCTTTTGACGCGGTATTTACCTAACGTAATCGTTTATCGTTTTTAAGAAGACTTGAAAATTACTGAGCAAAGCATCAGGCGGATCTGGATGCCATTGGCGCCAGTTCTTTCTAATGTCCTCCTCATCCAGAAACTCGTCGTTGACATTAGCTGCGTCTTCGTCATCAATAATCACGCAACGCTCCTAAAATTGGCTTTAAAATATCTTTCAAAATTTCGGGTTTTATAGTGTATCTTAGCATCTTCAATAGTTTCGGATGATCCAAAAACTTCTTAGGAAATTTTAAGAACGTGGCGGCTTGAGCAGATATCAATTTTCCTCGGTTAATAGGCCAAATTTCGCACCCCCCCGCCCCGTCTATAGAACAAAAATTTCCCCCATAAACAAAACACCAACCATTTGCTCGTTGAAACGGTGCCCAGCCTTGGTGATGAACGAAATTATCTGACGTACGGTGTCGGCACGGTGTTGCCTGAAAGGACTTGAACATCAAAAACGGCAGGCTCACTTTAGGTAATCTTTGATTTTTCCGCAGACGATTTGCATGATGAAGCCGGAGGGATCGAGACGACGAAGGGCCGTAACCGCGTTTGCGTAAGACGTCAGAATCAGCGGAGTCGAAGCATCTAAACCATGAATGAGCATTTAGAAAAGGCATTACTAATTTTGAGCAAATTCGCTTGCACATCGGTCACCAGTTGTTTGATTATCCGGTCGCGGCCATAACTAAAAATCCAACTTTCAAAAACTAAGAAATTCAAACCCATTATTTCGTTGCATAAATGTCGATAGCACATCTATCAGCTCGGCCGAGTTTTGGTCTCCATTGATGGTGATGTCATAAATCTGATGGAATAGATTCAACTAAACATTCACGCATACCTTCTCAATAAACTGATCCACGTATTTTGTTTCGAAAAATACACTGAGCTCATCTTTTAGCCCCGGGGTCGTCCTTATCGGAATTCCGCTCAGCCAGTCACCGGCAATGCTGGCCGCCTGCAAGGAACCTGATTGTAGAAAAAAAGGCTTTTACCGTACCTTTTCCATTTTGCGAAAGTCAGGTGGGCAATCTGTATTCTGCGTGTTGTCCTTGACGATGCGCTAAATAATGATGTATAAAGAAGCGATTAATAACCCAAATACCTCAAAGTATGCATAAAATGTCGCCGAGATGATTGGCTGAAAAAACGGATCACCCATCCGGAGTTCCTCCTCAGAAAGCTCTTTCCGGTAGTTGCCCACGAACGCTTTTCTAAACGACGAAAGAAACATCTACCTAAAGTTTTGAGTCCCTTACATATCGCTGATGACTTTCAAGCTTTCATCGGCTGCGTCCCGAATTGCTAAACGATGGTTTAGAAAATAGAGCTTCTTCCTCACCTCGATCCCCTTCCAGTGCGGCTTGACAAAACAACACTATCGAAAAAGCGAACATAGAGCCCTGAAAAACAATTTAGTCAAAAGCACACGACCCACCAAACAGTGGCTGAACACTCCCAGAGCCTTTCCCGTAAAAATCCATTCCAGACAATGCGCCCGAATCTTCTTCGTGATGTCCGGTCGATCGCCACAAAGCGCCGTCAGAAGCTAGAAAGGCCTTATAAAACTGAGTATGATAATGCCAAACCTCCTCAACTGTCCGTTGAATCGCCAGAACTTTCTCGTGGGTGGCTAGCATAAGTTGTGGGCGAGTGAGGTTGATTTGCTGTAGCGCATCTAGCCATATCGCTAATTCTTCGCCAATGTAGCCCAACAGAAAGCTCCTGAAAAGATTGTCTTGAAAACAAATTGAAAACAAAACAATTTGAAAAAGCCATTTTTAAATCTAATTTAGCAAGATCTATGACGACCGGTCAGCTGCCGGAAAAGCATTTTTTATAGGTCAAAATAGGTATCGATAAACCCCGCGATAAAACTTTCCCGTATCATTTCTGACTCGGGTACCGACATTTATCGTAGATTATTACCTCACGGATCTCGAACAGTAGTCGGAAAAAGTGGTCCCCATCGGCAAACTATCTGACGTCTCGAATTCCAAGACAATATTTCCATCCTAAGAAAAGGTTGAGATTTACAACACAAAATAAAAAATACCTGGAAAGGATCGAAAATCGTGGCCTGGCGCGGGACGGCAGCGCTCATTTTCGACGAGCTTTGCCCAGCCGTATGCACCTAGAATCGAAAGAATTCCCTCAAATTATCGTTGTCATGTGAGGAAGACGACCTTCGCTCCGTGTTCTCGTTCGAATTGCCAGACTCGGCAAGCGAAATCGCGTAGTCTATAGCCGGGCGGGGCCTCTCTTTCCGCTCTTCCTCCTCCTGCAAAAGGGCTTTGAGCCGCCGAGTAATTCCGGGCCAGTTTTATATATGAGTATTGCCGAGATACAGGAGGTATTTCACGTCGTCAAGCAGAGACCCATTCAATTCTGGACGTCAGAAGGTTTGCAAAAACAGCTTGATAATGATTATCCGGTTTCAGATATCCATGACTGGCTGAAACGCCGACGCCCAAAGTTGGCTTTAAAATATGCATTTTGCTTTATTCGGCATCGAATCACGGGTCGAGTATTGGTGGAAATGACGGAGCAGGATTTACTTGAAATAGGAATCTATTCGCGAGAGGAGAGGTTTGTCACCAATCGAATCCATTTAATTAAAACTATGGGATCTGAACCTATTCGAAATCCGTAGAGGTAGCAGAGTCATCCTTTCAGGCACGATATAATTTATGAAGTTCTACGCGAAAAGCTACACTGCGATTATATCGAGCTAAAGACGGCGGAGGCGGATGCTGAATGACGAGCTTCTTTAAGCTTTGTCTACTTGATCTCATTTGACGTATGGGCAATAAACAGCCAAAATATATGTATTTATGAATAAAGTTTTGCCTTTGTCTAAACAAAAGCCACCATCAAAACAGGAATCACATCAACAAGAAATCAAAGCGATCCCCCTACTTTCCCTGCAGAAAAAAAACTCGGAAGAGCGCCGATGACTAGCATCAAATTTTGGTTAATTTTTTACAATTATATTTTTTATTTTTAAAGATTTCAAAATTTTGTTGCAAGTTCTAATTACGACAGTAAAAGGCAGTGTACGCAAATTGACAAACAACGCCGGCCGTAATGAGGCGCTCAACGGAACGGAGCCGACGTCGAAATCTTCAAATTTTTTATTTTGATCGAGAAAAACAGCAAAGTCACTTTTGGTAATTTTTTACAGTTTTTCGACATAAATACTGTTTTTTTTTTCGTATATTTCTCGAATTTCATACAGCTCTGTCCTTCCAGGTAACCACATCGATTTTCGTGGCCAAGATGGGCTACGTAGTAGTGATAGCGGTGATGTCGTTATTTCTGCTCGCCCTCTTCTTCTTCATCAAGCACCTCGCGCTGCGACGCCAATTAGCCGGTAGCTTCTTTACTGTCTGATACCATTTCAGTTCCAGGAATCCACAGCCCCCGTTCCTACCCGCTCATCGGTCAGGCGTTGATCATCAAGCCGGATGCTGAGGGTTTCATGGATCAGGTTTACTTTTCCTATATCTTGTTACTTCCTTTTAGATTATGGGTATGGGACAGCTTTACCCGACGGATTCCCGGATGGTGCTCTTCTGGATCGGCCCCAAGCCGGCGCTTATGATCTATTCGGCGGAATTGGCTGAACGAATCGTCTGCTCGAGCAAACACCTCAACAAGGGATTCGCCTACAATTTGCTAGAGCCGTGGCTGGGGCTTTCTCTACTGACTAGGTCCGGCTCTTTATCTGGATCAAAATTATTTTCAGTAATGCTGAACGCTGGCGCCCGAAACGCAAGCTGTTGACACCGACATTCCATTATGACATATTGAAGGATTTTGTTCCGGTTTTCAATGAGCATTCACTTACTCTCGTCAAGAAGCTGGCCACTGTCCCGAAAGGGTAGAGAATTGCCGCTTTTCTGAGTTAACTGTTGTTTAGCGAATGCATCGACTTCTGCTCGTACGTCACCCTGTGCGCTCTGGACATTATTTGCGAGACCTCGATGGGCAAACGCGTGAATGCACAAATTGAAGCTAACAGTCAGTATGTTAAGGTTTGTTTGTCTTTTTGGGTTGAAAAAACTTGATTTTGCAGGCGGTTTATGAAATCAACGACATTGTGCTAAATCGAACAAAGAATCCGCTGATGTGGAATAAGTGGGCGTTCGACACGTTTGGGGAGGGCAAGGTGCACGATGCTTGCCTGGCGACACTTCACGGGTTCACTGGACAGGTTTGCTAGAGGTTTTCCTTTTTTACTTTTACCTAGGTTATCGCACAACGTGAAAGAGAGCTAGAAGCCGCCGAATGGCAACTGGAGGGACGCCTGGCCTTCCTTGATCTTCTGCTTGACATGGCCCACCAAGGGCAAATTGATCACGGCGACATCCAGGCCGAGGTTTCTTACTGAGCCTGGCATCAAACCTAAATTTAGGTTGACACATTTATGTTTGAAGGCCACGACACAACGTCTACCGCCCTTTCTTGGGCTGCCCATCTCCTCGGCAACCACCCGGACATTCTCCACCAAGCGCAATTGGAGGTCGACATGGTGTGTGCAAAAATCTACAAATACCTCTGCGTTGTCATTGTAATATTCAATGTTTCAGGTTTTTGCGGAATACGGAGAAGTGAACGCAACAGCCTTGTCAAAGCTTGACTATCTGGAACGATGCATCAAGGAGACCCTCCGCTTGTACCCATCTGTGCCCACCATCATGCGAGAGCTCGGATCGGATCAGGTAATTTATGGTTTTTCGAGAAACGTGACTTTTAGGAGCTCGCTGGCCGTAAAATACCTGCTGGAATGCAAATCATCCTCAACCCATATCTCATCCACCGCGATCCCGCCCAGTGGCCCGAACCCGAGAAGTTTGATCCTGATAGGTTCGTCTTTTCGCTTTATACTTTTATTTCGTATTTAATCGTAGGTTCCTACCCGAAAATTCCGTCAACCGCCACGCGTTTGCTCTCATCCCTTTCTCTGCTGGCAGTCGAAATTGCATTGGGCAGCGCTTCGCCTACATGGAGATGAAGACGGTTCTCGCTTGGTTGCTCCACTACTTCGATATCGGTAAGATTTTTGTGGATTCTGATTGTGGTTTAATTAATATTGAACTTTTGCTGTGGTATTAAAGTTTTTCTAAAGTTAAGGCCCTTGGTTATCTCCCCCCCCGCTAACGAATAGCACCTTATTTGAGACCTCAATATCGCTCCCATTCTAGAAAGCGTTGACCGAAGATGCGACGTCTCGCACAAAATGGAGCTCATCCTGCGTCCGGCGGAAGGCATCCGCGTCAGGCTCCGTCAGCGTCGCCCTTTATGATTTATGGTTTCCTTTTCTGTGCCATCTCCTACTGTGAATTTGTGAATTTGTACGTTTGTTTTTGCGATTTTAATGCATGCGTTGATAAAGCGAACCCCCACTTCACCGTATTAGCGCATATAGCTCACAGGGATTAGCGCTCGTTGATACACCCAATTACCCGGTCTGGGACGGGCAAAGCGAAAAATGATCGAGCGGGACACTCGGAAGTGCGGTGCCAGAATTGTGAGATGCCGTTTCAACTATTGATATTTGTCGTGCTATTGGTGGCCGTAAATGGTGATGCAACTTGCCCACAGGGTACCCTTCAGGTGCCTGGTCGTCAGTACTGTATAAGCTTTACGGACGGTATGCAGTTAGCTTGAGTTTTCTCTAATTATAGAGTTAGAACTTTCTTTCGGTGATGCTCAGCAGGCCTGCTCTGACAAGGGCGCTACCCTCTATGAGCCGATCGACACCTACGATGACAAACTGATCGGGCAAATGATGCAGAATTGTAGAATTGGCTTGATTATGAAAACCAGAATATTTAGATAGTCAAGCCCGCTATGCGTGGATCGGGATTCTTGAAGAGCAAGGGAGCTTGCAATTCGCCAGTACTGGTGAGGAGGCTGGGCGGAAGCATCAAGGTATGTTGTCAACGTTGAAAAGTTAAGAAAGATCTACATTTAGTGTATGGCATCTATCCATTCTGCTCGCAAAACGTCGCCGGTTTCGGCAAACAGATGAATAACTGTACCCAGCAGGCAGGCAGCGATACACCTTGCGAGTAGGTTGAGGCTGTTTCCTGAAAAGCGCATTTTTGAGGATCTTGAACTTTTAAAAACTCTTAAATTAACTATAAAACTCAGTAAATACATCGCCCAAATGACGTGCGGTATCGAGAGTGTGAATGCGGTATCGGCTGAACCGGAAAGGGACCGGCAGCTCGTCACTTCATTCGTCAACGTTTTTGTATGTCAATGATGATAAAAATGCTGCTAGTTAAAAGTTTAAGTAAAATACTATTTTAGTATGGTATTTTTATATATAGTAGGATTTTGTTTAAGTTAAGTTTAAATTGAAACTTTATTACGTTCAGCATTCATACCTGAAGCCTGATTATTTGAACAAAACCTATGGGGAAGATTGCCAGCAGCAACTTTATGATGGTAAAAGTTAGTTTCGGACCTGATCTTTTCTTTAGGGCTAGACACGACAAAAACACTGGATGTTCGCGTGTTGCTACGAGGAAATGGACATTTATACCTTGCTGATGCGGCAACAACGGCTGCCGGGATTTGTACAAGCCCAATGACTCGTAAGCTTTACAATTTCATATCCTAGTTTTTCCGTTTTAGGTTCCTGCGATCCCGGCTGGTCATACCTGGCCTCATCGAATGCATGTTATGCGGTAGACGATGCTTTTTAGAAGGCTAATTTTTTAGGCGGCCAACTACTCCGAGTCTATCACCCAAGAACAAGCCGAGTCGATCTGCCAAGGCGCCGGCGGGAATCTTGTTTCGATCACCGGCATCTCCGAGTTGTTGGCTGTGCTTGGTAGTTTTTTTGGTTCTTTTGCATTATCGGGAGGACCAACTTTTTCCTAGGACTTGATTTTCCAAATATAAATAGAGAAGTGTTTCTAAACGGTTTTCTACTATTGCTAAGCGAACAAACTCTAAAACATCAAAAAAATATTGATTTTTGACCAAAAATTGGCAGTTTACCAAAATAACCCTTAACCGACAGAAACGTTTTTTGATGCTTTTCAACGGGTTGTTCCAGGAATGGTCAGCGAGGCGGGGGAGGATGTGAGCTACTGGACCGGGTTGACGTGCAGAGGCGGAATGTGGCAGTGGACCGATAATTCGACGATTGTCATGGGAATGGATATGATGAAGGTAACTCAGTTTTAAAGCTGCTTCGGTGCTTGTAGCTAGCGGGGTGGAGCTAATTTTTATCATCCTACCTAATTTTCTCACATTCTACAATTTTCTTCAAATCATCGCCTAGATGCGCAAAAACCTAAATTGAAAGTAGTTTTTGTAGTTTATTGATAGCTTAGAAGTCATAATAACTATTTTAAATGCTTTGCGAGCCTAAAAATGGCCTTTTTTTGGTCATTTTTCAAACATTTTTAACCCAAAAAGCCGTTGTAGCCCACCACCGGTTACACCGGAAACCCAGACAAACTCTTGCAGATGACACGCCGGAAGCGTCAGTATTTTGTCGGTTCTCCCGGCGGCTCGACGATGACGCCCTTGGTTATTGCCGCGGGTCCGGAATCGCTGCAGAGCCAATGCACAGAGGGCGCTGGCTGTATGGTAATTTACGTTCTTAAAGGAATAAGAAAACTGTCAAAAACCCCTTCAGATTTCCCCAATTAGCGAAAGCAGTTGGCGGGGCAGCATTGGCACTTCGGGACTGTCGTGCACCAGCACCGACACCACTGGGATCATTTGCAAAATGCAACTCTAATCCCGTAAATAAACATGTTTATGCAATCAAGAATGTCTTCATACAATAAAAATTAAAATTCGGTAGAGGTGCCTAATCAGCGGCAGCGGGATCAACGGCCGGCTTCCGGTTTCGGCTGAGCAGCGCCTGCGACGATGTCTTGGCCACGGCGCTCAGCTGATCCCACGCAGACTTTTTGGACTTCTTCTTTTTCGGCGTGCCGCCCTGCCCGGATTCTCTGCTTTCCTTGCTCGTCTTTGCCGCAACTGAAAGTTGTATTGGGGTTGAAATTTCGGTGCTAAACTGTTAGCGGCGGGGGAGAGGGAATTTGGCGCTATCGCCTTGTACGGTAAGTATCAATCTAAAAATCGCCTGATTTCGTATTAAAACCCGTAGTTTTAGTAAAATTTTAGTTTTTCTGTAGCCGTACGAAGAATACTCGTGTAGCTGTTTCCTAGAAATTGGGCAAATGGCTAGGCATTAGAATTTTTCAAATTTTCTAAAAGTCTTAGTAAGCAAAAAAAAACTACTAAAAGCATTATAAAACAATTGTTTTTCGAGGCTTGTATATTCTATTGCTGAAGCCCCAACCGCCGAAGCGTTCATCGAAGAGCGTCTTCTGGTGGCCGTAGAATTGGGGGGTGCGCGGGGCGGCGGCCCTGTAGAGCAGCAACGCCTCGTCCTTGGTGGGGATGAAGTGACGAATGGGGGTGGAGGGCATGTTGTGCTTCAGAAAGGCAATGTCCTTCTCATCAAGCCATTTCCGGGGCGGAACGGGTCGCCCATCGCCGGCCAGGCTGTCCAATTGGTAGGGCACCGATTGGGGGTACGAAAATAAGGTAAAATTTTGCGTCTTTTATGACAATTAAACCTTAACTTCTTAGATATTTTAAATCGTAGAATAAGCCAACACCTACTCGACTATCAAGCGGCCTAATCGCCCCCAGATCCAAGGGCGGCTGCCGTTGTTGAGCGGGAAATGTCCACACAAAACAGATCATCGTCGACGTGGCGAGGAGCAGCCAGATGAGAAGGTAGATGAACGTGTCCTGGGTGACATCTTCGGGTGTCTGAATCCAGTTTTTTTAGGTTATCCAGACGTTGCACTACCGTGATCAGCGTCTGGTATGGGCCGAAATTCATCGCGGCGGGTTGTGTAAATGAAAGGAGAAATTTGGGGGTATTTGAAAAGTGGATGCAAATTATTTTATGTATTTCCAGCGCAGATTGACGGGGTTCACCTCCTTCCTTTTAGGTTTTTGCTAATCTGACTTTTTTTGCAGCAATCTTTCGGCAGAAAAAGAAAGGGATAGACGCTAAACTTTGACTGGTTAACTTTTTAGATCTTTATATCGATGGCTGTTCCAGGAATTGCCAATTTCTGCTTTTACATAGCTGCTTATTTGCATCTCTGTTTTGCCTCTTTTTCTAGAAAGATTTCCGGTGATTTACATGAATATTTAGGTATGAAAATGAGCAGCGCGACTCGTCGGGCCGCTCATTTTCATACCTAAATATTCTACAATTTCTACACGGGCTTCTACAATCAGCCGAGATGCCGATCGCGAATCCCGACTCGCTGAAGAAGAAGAAGAAAAAGGATGAACTCAGCGGCTCAATCGAGAGAAGGAAGAAAAAGAAGGACCCCAGGGATATGTCGAGGAAACCTCGTAAGTCTTTTTAACGCGAAACTGGAGAGATCACCCCACCCCCAGTTCACCTACAGTATCTTGGCTCTACGTTCCTCTACGGGGCTGTAAATGATACCAAAAGACTCGCCATATCAAGACAAACATTTTGTTATACTTTACACCCCTGTAGGCCAATGGAGGGCCGAGTTAGAAAAGTTGCGGGTCGGCGGGGTAAGCGGAATGGAGGATTATCTGCAGTCTTACCTTTTTTAACACTACTTGCCGTTCTTTTAGGTTTATTGTTCTTTTATTACATTTTTTCTAGAGCGCAAAGAGGGCGGCGAAAAGCTGGCGAAGAAGAAGCAAAACGAGAAGGCCCAGGTCGAGTACAACGACGCGATGAAGGACTTTGTCCAGAAGACGTGCGCTGGCGGTAGATTCTTTTTTGTTTAGCAGGTACTTCCCGTTTTCCAGGTTTCGCCGGGCTGTCGGCGACCTGGAACGAGCTGAAGGCGTACACGACCCCGAATGCCACGACGACAGCCTTCACAGCCCATGGCGACAAGAATCGATACAAGGATATCCCGTGCATCGATGCCACTCGAGTCAAGTTGAATGTTGAGGTCGATGGAGAAGACGATTACATTCACGCCAATTGGTGCAAGGTGAGAAAGCGGTACTGGACTGCTAGCAGGGGGTTTCATAATAAATTATGTCTTCTTATCCTTTTTCGTAGTTTTTTTGATCACAAAAAGTAACAAAAAAATGTTAAACCTTTTTGACGATTCGAAACTTCGGCTACGAAATTTTTCATACGTTTTGGAGCAAAAATGCAAATTTTTTCGAAATTTATAAGGTTACCGAAAAACATCTATCTAAAAATATTAAAAAACAGTGTAAAATGCTCTAAAAATGATTTATATTTTGTTATAGGACCGTTCAGGATTGCTGGAAAAGGTAGTTCCCCTCCTGCTAACAGTCCAGCACCGTCAAAACTGATTTCTTCTTTTACCAACCATTTTTTTTCCAGCTGGAGGGCCGCGAGACGTTCATCGCCACCCAGGGCCCGCTCGACAACACGATCGTCGACTTTTGGCGCATGTGCTGGGACCACGAAGTGGTGAACATTGTTCAGTTGGGCCGTGTCGTCGAGGACGGCAAGAACAAGGTACAAATCTTGCATCGACGAATGACCTAAATTTAGTGCGCAGCCTACTGGCCCGAGCAGCCGGGCGGCTACCAGAACCACGGCCGCTTCTTTGTCAACAACAAAAAGAAGGACGCGAACGCGGACAACAAGTGCAACCAGTTGATCATCGAGCTGTTGCCGGACGGGTGCTCAAATAGTCGCATCATTCGGTAGAGACACGCGTTTTGCTTGTCTTATTTTTTTGTTTTTAGGATGATCCAGATGCCGGAATGGCCGGATCACGGCGTGCCGAATAACACGAAGAAGTTGTTGCGCATCATCCGGGCTCTGGAGAAGGACGGCGACGCCTTGAACCCGGGCAACACGGTGCTGCACTGCTCGGCTGGAGCGGGGCGCACCGGGGCCATCATGCTCGTCCACTGGATCAAGTCGGCGCTCTTCGCCAACCAGAAAGTCGATGTGAGTTATTATTTTGTTTTGAACCCACATTTTTCAGGCGACCGATGTGTTCAAGAAGCTGCGCGACCAGCGTGCCTGCTCCGTGCAGACTGAGCAACAGTGGCTGTACGTGTTCGCCGTCGTCATGGACTACATCCAGGTTTGTCGGCTTATTTTACATTGTCGAAATTTTTGTAGGTAAGAGTCTAGAAACCCCCCCAGCCGGCACCAACTTTTGTATCTCGGCCCCCCTTTGTGCTAGCGAGCTCTAAAGTATACCAAAAGGTTCGCCGTAGGCTAATTAGTAAGACTACATTGCAGTTCAGTCGAAAAAAGTAGCGAAAAATAACAATAGGGAAGGTAGAAAAGTTGAAAAGTCGGCTGGGGGGGGGGGGGTTCCTAGACTTGAGCCTTTTTGTAATTTGGCTGATTTTCCGGAAAAGTGGTTCTTTCGACATCGTGAAATTTCGTTTTCTTGTCCGTTTTGAAGCCAATCCCCCTGAATCCGCTTTTTTAGATTAAAGCCAAAGCCGTGGCGGCCCACGACGCGAAGATGATCCAAAAGTTCCTGGAAGAGGGCGAGAAGGCCCTCGGCATGAGCATCATCAAGGCCAAAGACAAGGACGACGCCTTCCACGAACAGGCGGCCAATCCTTTGCCTGCGAGGCGCTGTTATGGCTGCTTGGCTCCTGCTCCTCCGGCAGGGCGCTTCTGTTTCGACTGTGTGAATAGAAAGAGGTTGGTGTAAGAAGGGAATGAAAACCTTCGAATATCAGCTCGACATCGAATAAGATGTGCAACGACTTTTGCCAGTTGTACCGCAAGATGGCGAACGTCCGGTAAATGATGCCTTGAGGCTGGGAACAGCACCCGTTTAGCCCGCATCCCGATCTCACCACGAACGACCACGAGCTGCTGATGGCCGGGCTTAACCGTAAGTCGAAGTAATTTCTGCCATGACCTCCTTTTATTTTCAGTGCAGCGGTGCGCCACATGCTGGTGGAGCGACTGCGTCTACCGGCTCAGTTTCCTGAACGGCAAGTAGGAGGGCACCAGCGGGCACAAAAGCGATTCAATGTTCATTAAAAGCCTATTTCGTATCATTGTGTATTGAATAAATATCGCATTTTTTTGGACGACGTTTTACAGTCGAACAATTTACATTTTTTTTAGTTAATCACCACCGACATGTGAAAACGAAGATTTAAATAGGCCCCAATGGCTCCCAGGAAAAGGCGTACTGTACGGGTTTTTGCCTGGGGCGCGAAATAGCAGCATGATTTTAGCTGCGCCGGGCCGCTGTGGGCCTCCATGAAAAGAGAAACCCGACCCGGGAAAGCGTTAGCCTTTGTAAACGCGTGTTGATAACGATTGCGTGATTCAAATTGGGTTGAGAACGTCTATCCACCTGCCATCAGCATTGAGATCGATAAGAAAGGGTACGCGTATCGTGAAGGCATTAACGATATACATATAAGGCATCAATGACAAAATGACAATCACCGTGGGAAAGGTCACACGGAAAACCGGGAGAAGACTTAGATAGAGAATTGTTTCCAGTCGACTTCGAAGGTACGTAGATTCAGGATGGCGACGAGCTGGGAACGAGCGAAGCGCGGGATCGCGATCAGGGTGCATTTGCGATTGCCGGATCCCACGTGTACCACCACCTAAAATTTGGATCTAAATATATCTAAATGTTACTTACCTCCGGCTTCGGCTGATTGCCGGCGATCATTACATGTGGGTAGCGCTCAATCGAAAAAGGGTCGCGATCGTGTAGAGGGAATCCATCAACCTGAAAAATATCGGTTCTTTCGCATTATCGGGGGAGGGGCAAACTTTTCCCATATGCTAGTAACATAATGGCAATTCCTTCGAAAACGTTTCTAGTAGAGTTGGGCTCCATAAGCGGAAAAAATAACTAACAATTTTAGAAAAACCTAAGAAGATAGAGAAATTGGCCCCCAAGGAAAAAGGTGCTCTGGTAATAGCAACATTTAACAGTACTTTTAAGCGAAATGTAGCTATCTTTCTAAGGGAAAAATATGAAAAATATACCGTATCGGGACATGTTGGGGCCACATGTTGCCAAGTGAGCATCAGCTCCATCAGTTGACAGGCGGACTGGATGTTCGAAAGACGACGCAGATCAGAGACAGTTTGCCCGGAGAGAGCACAGAAGTCAATCCCACCTAAATCACGATACCTTCAGAATACTCAAATTTTCCTACCAAGCGTGAATTCATACGGATTGGTGGTCAGGTTGAGTGTTCCCCCATTCAGGCCAGCCATCGGCAAAACCGTTCTGAAGCAAAATGGCTGTAACGAAGCGATCAACTCACTTATGGATAGGCCGCTGAGGGTGGAGGGCCATCGTTGGATCACCTTCTCCGGGCATCAAATCAACAGGCACCAAAGCTGTAAGCCTGGCAATATGCTCATCTAACGTCTTTGCACAGCCGACGTTCGGGGCTTCTTCGTGGCGAACCAGATAGGCGGCTTTGGACGAGAATTCTTGGATTTGGGCGGCTGAACGGAAATAGTGAAACAGAATGAACACTTACAAACATTGATGCTCTCGCCGGCGATTAGGACACGCGCGATTCGGGATACGTCGTCAGCCTGGAAGCGGGAATGGTTTGAAGCATTTTGAAGCCGCTGATACCTCGATTCCCATTTGACCGCCAACCCATTGTGAAAAAAGGTTGAGTGAAGAGAGAGTATTCGCGTCGCGTACCGGATCGCCACAAATTTCGATGCCTAAAAATGGCGCTCTGATTCAAGGAAATACCGTACCTGACAAAATAGCAATCTTCGGGTCATCCTTTACTTTCGGAAACGGTTTTTGCGGGGCAGGAGTCGGCCAAACAACCTGCTTCACGTCGAAGACTCCGTCAGAAACCTAAAAAAATATGTTTTTGAAAGCTGGAATCGTTTACCTGGCGACCATATAATCCACAAGTGCACCCCGTCGCCACGTTGTCCATATTAATCTTACCCGTCAACCGCACAATCTGCGAATCATCTTCAAACTCGAGGAAATCTTTGTTGCCAATGAGGGAAGGCCTAAAACACAGATTTAACAAGCTAAAGGTAACTAACATTTCTTCATCAATTTCCGCGGCTCCCCCTTCCTCATCATCCAAATCTTCCATTTTCATTTCCTCATCAGCCATCGCCTAAACGGAAACTGCCGAAATAATATAGCAAAATACCTTCAAAACTGACGGGCGTGCTTTGATCCGCTTCTCAATGGTACCGACGACCAGTACCTAGGAAATAACGAATTAAGAGTGGCGGCTTCCACATACATCAACTTGTCGAGCATCGATATCATCTCCATTTTCCGCAACTTTCTCAAGAGAAGAGACCTAAAAAGCCAAATATAAGTTCAGAAAACTGAAAGAATAGTACCTCGATGTGTTCGCCAAGCATTAGTTTGGCATTTGCGACGACCCGTTGCTTGGCCTGCGCGACCCGAGCCTCGTAGAGGTGAAAATATTGACGCTGAAACATATAAAGCCGTAATTTTTATTTACCCTGTGCCAATTTCCGGCCAAGTCACTTGGTGCAAGCAAAAATCTCTGCGAGCGGTTTTCATATGGCAGCACCTGACGTTTGACACGCTCATCCGTGATCGTCATCGTCTGCGGTTAGAACCTAAATTTTATTTTTTTATAGCACATAAATTTTGAAATCCAATAAAACCCAACAAAGACAAGACCTATAAATTCTAGCTAAGGCGCCAACACACATTTTGCCAATCACAAACTCGGGTGGTAATGTCAGAAAAGAGAACGAGTTGACAACAGATACTGTGAGATGCTATTCGACTAGAAACTTTGATGGAAATAATATGCTTCATTCTTTCTTTGCAGCTGCTGAGCGCTCGGCAACCGCTCGGCGTCCCCTCGAATTTTTGACGTCATCATCTATCCGTTGGTACCAATCGTAGATTTTGCCAGCAACAATCACTTCGTTAAACGCACGACAATTCACAAAGGAATTCATCGCCCCGTAGAGAGCGAGGTCGGCAAGACTCGGCTTGTCTCCACCCATAAACTTCCGCCCACCAAGCGCCTCCATCCACTTGTCACAGGCATCAGCCAGAGCTGCACGTTCATCGTTGATATCGTGCTTCTTCTTTAATCTTTTCCCGATCAAATACATCACTGATGCGCCTAGGTAGACGGCGAGCTGGCGTTCGATGTACGTAAACACACGATCCCATTCTCCAGCCTTCTCGAATTGACGGAAAGTTTCCAGCGATTCATCGAATGACCGGTAGACGTTCGGCGAAATGAGGTGAATGAAATGGTCATCAACCCACACACGCCATTCCCGCTCTTCTCGCTGATGCCCAATGTCAGCCGGCTTCAGGTCCTTTTCGAATAAGACGAAATACTTGTTGGGCCACTTCTTGCACGGCTTCCCTTGATCATCAACTGTGTCAAAAGACGTGTACATGTCCATAATCTCGCTCAACGAGCGTTGAGGGTTCACCAAGTAGGTGGCCATCTGGGACATGACGAGAGAAGACTCGAGAAGGTATTGATCATCCTGTGCGCGGAGTACGGGAACTTTCTTGTATCCTTGTGTGAACTTGAGCTCCGTTTTTGTGACCGGGTTGACTTCTATGACTTCGTAAGAGAAGCCGTAGTAATCCAGAAAAGCCCGTACTTTGCAGCAGAAGGGGCAGGATTGGTATTGGTAGAGGCGTAGGTTCAATCCGGTCTTATCGTCAGCGTTAATGATTTTGCGGCTGACAATGTTGTCCTTTGCGAGTGGTCGTTCGGTGACGGGGCGTTCGACGGATATTCTGTAGGGATACTTCTCATCAAGGGCCGACTTTGACACTGTGCCCCATCCAAAGAGACCGGCTATGGAGGCAGCTTTTGTGACATTGCGCATCCAAACCATCGACGTCTAAATGGGGTTTTACAGCGAGTTTTTGGGGGCAATGTTTTCGATATCCGTCCGTCACAACAAGCATACTATGAAAGCCGACTGGTTTTCCACTATTTATTCAGAAGGAAACGTGAAACGCATTATTACCCGTAGCAAAGTCGAAAAGATCAATCAAGATGCGAAAGTGATAACTAGCGGAAGTTTCCAATAATGTGTAGGATGAGCTAGGGAACCGGAGATGCTGGTGTGGAGGATGGCTCATCTGGTAGCGGAGATTGCTGCGTGTCAGACTGATATTCCGGCGTCATCACGGGATCTCCGTCGACGTCTTCTTCGGGGTCAGGTGACATGGGATGTTCCTAAAAGATAACTATAAGGTACCGCTTGCTTATGCATTTCTCTACACTTCTTACAGGCATCTACCCCATAGCCAACTCTGACCTGTTGAATTTCATGTACTCCCGCGTCGCTAATCTCGCTCGGCTCCTCGGTTTCCATCCTTTCGGTCTCTTCGTAGCTCCGGTCTGCATCCATCGAAATATTTTCCTTATCTTCCTCGTCGTCAACACGTTGTGCTGGAGATGCCATTGATCCCTTGGGGGATGCTCCCATTTCAGATGCTTCTTGTTGGCCGACTGTTAGCGATGCGTCAAGGCTATCGTCTTCCGCGGAGGGGATCTGAAAAAAGCACAAAGCTAGGAAAATGAAAAAGAATAATTTTCATAATTTGCACGAACGCACCTTGTAAACAGCGATGTCCTTTTCTTGTCCGGTAGAAATTAAATAACGACCGCTGGGATGAAAGTCGAGGGAAGTCACCTAATCTTGATTTCAAGATGATACCCATATATTACCATTCTTTCGTGGATGCTCGGAATCTTCAGAAAAGCTGATGAGGCGGAGAAGTCCCACAATATGATCTAATCAGCGTGTAACATAGTATTAAACCATCCCAACCTCCCCAGTCAAACTTCCGGTGGCTAGGCGTAATCTGTCCGCAGGGCCATCCAAGGATATGGTCGACACACCGCTTGTATGTCCAGAAAGTGTGCGCACGCATGAGGGATTTTCTTCATCCCTAAAATTGCTGTCTACAGAAATCTGTGCGAAACAAACGTTCTAAAAATCTTGAGCGTTTTGTCGTCACTTCCGGTGATAAAGTAATCTTCGTCGGGGGTGAACGCCAACACTCGCACCTTCATAAAGTGAGCTAAAATTTGCGGATCACCGAAGCTAAATCCAGGGAAAATACCTTCGCATGAAGCACGCGGTTCCAAGCTTCGACCATCCATCACAGTGACACCACCATCTTTTGACCCGAATCCGACATACCTTCCGCCCGGAGACTAAATATTTTTAAGTTGGCAAGTCCCAAAAAAAATACCGCAGACACCACGGAGACGTGTTTCATATTCTCGTATGTGGCTTGTTTGATAATTTGTCCATCAAAATCGATGAGGCACATCGAGCCGGAGAAGTTGGCTGGAATCCGCGAGATTATTCGTTGAATTCCGTTAAACCTGTAGCAAACGTCCTCGTGAACGGAACACAGGCGAGATAGCACGCATCCATGTATCCAAAATCCATGGTATTTATCTCGATTTTAGTATCAGAAGCTGGAAGCAATGGATTAAGCAAATCAAATAAACGCACTGTTTAACTCAATTTTGTGAACCATCGAGTCGATGCTGATGACCAGGATTGCTAAACGCAGTGTAAAAATAGACAAGCTTCTAACTTTTTCCATCTGATGCAATATCCACCGTTTGGACGCCACATCTCCATTTCTTGGCCTCCATAAAGGCAACCATGTCGAGCTTGCCTTCGCCGGTTTCTCGCCTGAAAACAACAAAATTTCCTTAAAAAACCTTCCGCTTACACATCCCAGACTTTCAATCCATCCTGAGCCACCGAAACCAACGCCGTCGGTCCATCCGAACCCCTCGTGAATCGGCCGAACGCAATGTGCTTTTCGTGCACTAAAAAGAATTTATCAAGGCGATCCTAGAAACCTTTCAGCACTTTGTTCCGCAACTCGACGGCGGGAGGCGCTTCGGGGGCTTCCGCTAGGACGGTCATACCGCCAAGTCCTAAAAGCTGTTTTAAATAAAATAAATTAAACGAGGTATACCAATTGTTATAGCTAAAGGGTATTAGGAAGAGATTTGCGCTAACTTTCTTTTAAAATTGCAGGTTTACGAACGCACCAAAGTCACAGAAAGGGCGCGGGAAAGGGGTTGACACGTACCGAGGGCCGCTCGGGACGACTTGAAAAATATTTGGATTCAGAGATTTCATATAGAGAAAATAAAGCAAAAAAATATAAGTTTAGAAACGAAAAAAAAAGCTTTAGAAAGCTTATCCAGTGGGATATTCGTTGGACCAACTGGAAAAATGTATGCGTTAAAATACCGAATTGGAATAATAAGTTTGAATACGCGGAAACAGTAGATTGTTTCGATTTTCGGGCTTTCGGACTCGAATTTCACAGCTTGAAAGTAAGCCGCTCGCCTGGCCCCTCTTCAGAATGGGCGACTCGGGCAACTCGGCCACCGAGAAGAGCGATGATGAAGTCATGGTCGACACCCCGTAAGTTGGGCTCGTTTGCTTTACCCGAAAAGCGGCTTTTCTTGCCGGAATAGTTGCAGAAACGATCAATAATCATAAAAGTAAATTAGGCCTTTTTTAAAAGTACAAAATTTCATTTTCAGAAGCATCTCGGCGCTCCCGTCCACATCGACGTTGGCCCGCACGGCCGTGACGTACGACGCGCTGAGCCCGATGTGGGGTAGAAGCGCCGTTAGAGCGACATTATAATGACAAGCTTTCACTTTAAACACTTTTGTAGGAATCGTACGTCTCGCTGTCCGACAGCTTGCAGTCCATCTGCTCGCACAGGCGAGACGGTCGACACGTTCACCTCGTTTGCCAGTACCAGGTTCGCCCTTTTCTCTTTTCGTAGATTTTCTTTTATTTTAGCGCATCGCCCTCGTTGGAAGTGCAGAACATCGTCGCTCAACCGGAGATGGTCATCGCCGGCATCGACCCGTCCGGATTCATTCGGGTAGCGGATATCCTCCAGTAAAATCAAGGAATGAGCGGTTATGTACTCCCTGTTAGCAGGGGCAGTTAATTTTTCTTAATAATCCTCCATAGTCCTATAACAATTTATAACCCTTTTTATATTTTACACAGTTTTTAGATATAAAAGGCTCGTAAAAAATTAAATTCGAAAATGTATGGAAAATGATCAAAAAAAGGTAAATTTTCGAATTTTCCTTGAAATTTAAAACTTTTTAGAATGTTCTAGCGATCAAAAACTACTAAAACATTTCAATTATAGGTGAAAAACAAAAATTACCCCCCTAACAGTCCAGTACCAGCAATTAGATCGCCAAACCACGCAACAAAAGAAAGACGCTTTTAAGGTGCGTGTGCGCGTCCAGCTATTGGAGGTGCCAAACGGCCAGAAGAAGCTGAATGCCCGCATCACCGGCCGTCTTCCTCGGCATTTGACGTTGAGCGACGTCCGCGTACTGCCGGTCCATCGAGCTTCTTCTGACAATTAGCGCCACACGCCCCCCTCCATCCATTAATACACAGAAAGTCGATTCAACGAAACATGGTTCCCTCTTCGAGTCTCAGATATGCCAGTTGCACTCGTCTTGTGAGTTAATAAATACTTTATTGCAATTCGATGTTTTTTGCTTTGAAGCATTTCTTCAAAACAATTTATTGAAAAACCACCAAATATACATAAAGAAATGTAAAGATATCACAATCTGTAAAAATAGATGTTTTTTGGTGTACTGGCCAGGCCAAGGCTCTGCAGACAACAGGAAAGTGTGGTAATATCATAATTTCGAGTGGTGGGAGCAACTACAGCTGTGGAATCAACAGAGCGACATAATATAGCACTGAGCACAAAATTCACCAAGGCGTCCCAGATAATGGACTAGGGGGGAAAAGATGTTCTTTAGTCTCTAGGAAACGATACCAGATTCTAGATAGAACGATGGGTCACAGTGAAAAAAATGCAAATCATCCCTAACCACCCAAAAGATACAAAAACGACGGGTTCTTTGGCATTATAGGGGAGCTTGGGTCTATTTCTTTTTAGTATTGTAATAGTCTTTTTGACACAATTTAACCATATTGGAAGTGGAAAAACTACAGAGCAAAACCTTAAAAATGTGTAGTTTTAGCATTTACGAATAGCAAAAACAAAGGAAGGGTGTCTAAACTATTTATATTAGAAAACAGATTCTAAAGACCCCCCCCCCCGATAATGCGAAAGCACCACAAACGATAGGCATCTACGGACCCAGTAGAGAAAAACAGCCGGTTTTGAACGGAAGGGTTTTTGAAGTTCGATAAAAAATTGCGGAAAGGCCGGAATAAGGCGAAAAAACATGGAATCGAATCATCGAGTTACCAGTCACGGCCCCGAGCTTTGAACGAGTCGGCCAGCGTGTTCCCGGGTTTTGGGGTATTCAGGGGAGATGGGGTGGTCGCAGTGAATGCGGAAGAACCATTTGGATAGGGTGAGCCGGGTGTTGCAGGAGCGGGAGGTGGGCCGGCGATTCTCTGCAAGAATTGGTCAAATACCTTTTGAGATAACTAATATTACCTGATCGCCCGGCACAAATCCTCCAGGTCCACTGAACCCGAGTGCGCTCAACAGCGTCGCCTGTAATTTCGGCAAAACGGGCGGCGGCTTCGTATGCGCCGTGTTGACGTTCATAAGTGGGACTAAATAATTTGGAGCTGGAGCAGGAGAAGAAGCAGCAAGCTGGGTACCTGGTCCAGGCGGGTTTTGCAACAACGGCTGTTCCGAAGATCTCCTTTGATCTTTCGGCCGGAAATTGCTGCTTTGCGGTCTCGCCGAGCGAGCGTTTGGGCTATTGGAGAAGCGTGGTGACTGCGTCTCCGCAATTGGCGTAAACTAAAGGGATTTCCCCTGTGAGTTTGGCCATTTTGCACATACCCTCGACTTCGGAGAGTCGTTGTTCCGCTTTTGATAGATGGGAGGGGGTGGGGTGTTGAATTGAGCGAGGGACGGGAGGTCCTTCGAGGCGCCGGGTGTAAGGAAATCACTGGGTGGGGGCTAAATTAATGATTTTTTCGAAGTTTTATGGTCTTTTACTTTCTGCAGGTTTGGAGGGAGGGAAGGTGGTGGGGCCGAGAATTGAGATGGCTGTGGAGGGGGTGGGGGTTGGTTGAGAAGTGGTGGTGGAGGAGCCGACATCAGAGGCATAGGTCCGCCCTGCATCACGACTGGTGGAGGGGGGACGTTTCGTTCTGGGGGAATAGGGTGCTGAAAAGCCATCATGACCGTTTAAAGTTTTACTTATATAACTATATAACTTTAAACGATTCGATCTGTTTCGAATTTAAAATCGATTTTGGTATTTTCAAGCCGATTCGACTTACGTGCATATGCTCTGGCTTCACGGGAGTACCCATCTGTGTTGGCGGAGGCAGGGAGAAGTTTGGAGGTGGACACGACATAAATAGCGGCATCTGAAACAGATTTTTTACGACTTTCTTTTTTCGATGTTTTTCCCAATAATTTGATCTTCATCGGTTCCTTTTGATATCCTACCTGGTGAAACCCGGGCGGCAATCCGGTGAGATTTGGTGGAAGCACCGTGGGTGGAGGATGAGATGTTGGGACGGCTATCAGCTGGGCTGGAGGTGGCGGTGGAGGTGCCAACAAACTCGGGCCGGGCGGTATCGGTGGAGGCGGCATCTGCGTATAGGGGATCGGCGGTGGAGGGTGGTTCATCGCCTAAAATGGATATATAGTTGTCAAAAACTATTTTTCTCACGGGAGTTGGTAAATGAACCAGTGGTGGTGGGAATCGGGTGATGTTCGGTGGCGGCTTATATTCAATGGGATCCTTCGAATCATGTCGCAGCATTGGTGGCGGAGGAGGGGCCTGAAACTCACATTGGCATTTAGATATCGTAACACGTATATTATTACTCTAAAATTTCACATTTGAGACCACTTACAGCCAAAAGTGGCGATTTAGGACCAGGGGGTGGTGGCGGGGGCGGCGAGGCACAGGACGCGGAAGAAGCCAAGTCCATCGAGACAGATTCCGTTCCGCTCGTCACTTCCTCACTAAAAAAGGTACATTTGGGATGACTGAATGTGGCATACCATTTTAACCGCTTCGCAGCTGGCTGTTCCACTTCCGGTCGTTCGCCTCTGACAGCTCTTGCGAGTGTCTCCATGAATTGTTGCTAGAAAGAAATCTACGCTTTTCAGGACAAATTACCGTAGACATTCCAGTCAGCCGTTGGCGAGTTTCTTCGTCGATCGCTTGACCACCATGAACGCGCAGCTGAAAAAGAGCTCGTAAAGACAGCACTGATTGCAACGTACCACAGCATCGAGGATTTGCTGCGGGTCATTCGGATTGACTGCATTGGGTGGCAACGGTACGGGAGGAGTCGGAGTGCTGGGAGGCCGACGTTGTTGTGCCTCGCTCTTCTTCCGTTGTCGACTCGATGTCTCGATCGGACACGTCGGGGCGCTGATCGAAGGACTCGGGCTTCCAGGGGGCGTTTTGGGACCCCGCCGTTGAGCCGATTCAATCGGTGCCACCTTGCCATCGAGGCCCTGTCGTAAAAGTGGGCCTGGCGGTGGAGGAGCAGTGGATCCGAGCCCCGATGAGCCGCCCTGCACGGCGTCATCCATTTCGAAGCCGAACCCGGGGCGGTCTCCAGCATCCATTTTCACGTAACCCATACGTTCATGGCCATCCACGCGGCCGGTGAGCATTTTGTGACCGAGGATACGCTCCATCAGGCCCTCACGCTGCAGGAAGTCATAACAAGACTTATCGTCGTACTGGTGTCGGGCTAGTTTGACGGCAGTCAATTTGCCGTCATCCTCTTCCTCCTCATCATCGGTCCGTGCTGGATCTAAAATAATGGATTTTACAGAGGCATGCAAAGACAAACCTCTGGACTTTTGTGTTTTCATTTGCCCAAAGATCTTGTCCAGCAACTGTTCTTGGGCTGCGGCGTCAAGGGGTTGTTGTGAAGATGATTGGGAGTGATGATGGTGACGGTGGTGATGGTGGTGCTTATCATCTCGAGTTTCTTTCCGTTCCGGGCGATCATCAGCCTCCCGTTTTACAGCTTTTGATGTGCTGGGGAGACTTGAGTGATTTCGTGAAGGTGCGGGTGGCTGTGGTCTCGGCCGGTATTTGGTTGGAGACTCGGGATCATGTCTAAAGCTACTGTGGATAAGGAGAAGCGTGGGCTGCAACCCACTTCCTGATCGGGCGCTTCGGGATTGTATCGAAGTCGCTGACAACACGTCTATTGACATTTGGCACCATGGGGGAGCTGCAGGATGAAAATTTGGGCTGTTAGTCAGGACTTACCGGCTAGTGGCCGGCTCGTCTTCTGTGATGGTGGCATCTTTCTTCTTTCTGGGTATCCGAAATGGCCGGGTCAACTCGTTGGAGAGGCTTAATTCCATCCTATACACCGCATTAGGCGCAAATCTAAAAAGTCTTAAAGTAATTGTCGCAGAAAAAAAACTGAAAATAGTTACTGACACCGTTCAAACGGCCAGTTATCACCAAAAATCATTTCCAAACAAATGCTTTATCGTATAAAAAAAAAGCATGGTCAGATCCCAAAATTGAAAGATCGGTTGTAGTGGGGGGAGAGAGGGTAGAGCAGATTCTGGTCGAGTGAGGTTTGATTCGAAATTGGGCATGTACCATGTTATAAGGCAGTCGTGAGATGACTATAATTTGGCAGTCGACGATAAAAGTGACACTAAACTGGCAATTCGGTTTGGCACACATCAGAAAGGCGGAGGTTACGCGACAAAATGAAAGTTAGCCGAGATCCGCAACAAGAAAGGGCACTGAAATTTGTGGAAAAGTAAACGTAGGTAGTTATCAGGTTAAAATAGACGATATTAGGGTGTTAGATTATAGTTGAGCTGAATTTTTAGAGGAATCGGAGAGAGTGGATGAGGTATAAAGCTGGGGTAGGGTTTCTTGTAAAACAACAAACTAATCAAAAACGAACAAGCAAGGAAAGGCACTGTACAAAGAAGTCTTGCAGAAGAATGCGGCTTTCAAAATAATTCTATTCTTAGTTTTGGGGTGTAGCCGGTTTTTCGCCCTCAGAATTGATAGGGACATCTTCGTTTTCTCCCTCGGTTCCGGCTGAAAAGAGTGTAAGTGTAGCTTGTGGCATTTCGAATTTTCATAATCCCGAAGTTTCAGAATCCGAAATTTCCTTAGCTTAGGAAGGGAACCTACGGAAATTTCGAGATTCTGAAGCTTCCAGATCATAAAAGTACGATTTTAAAAAGTAGAGATTCCTATAAGAAATCAAGAACCATACTCACTTGTAACAACAGTCGTTTCACTCGCCACTTCCGGTACCTCACTGAATTCGACCACGGTCATAGGCGGGCAGCCCGCAAAAGCTCCATTTGTCCCATCGTGTCCATTCGAGGTGACTGTGGTGGAGGTTGATGACGGCGCTGTCGTGGTGATTGTTGTGCTGGTAGTGGCCACTTCAGCAACAGGGTCACGAGCCGCAGCTGCTGCTGCGGCTGCTTGCTGAGCCTGAGTCGAGCCCTTGCTGCCTCGTTTTTCCGTATTTCCGCGGGCCCTACGTTCTTTTTCTTTGGCCGCGCTGTCGACCTAAAAAAATATAGTTTCTATGGAGTTCCAAATTTTCGAATACCTTGAGCGCTTTTTGGACAATTTCCTGGATCTGGCGCTCCATTTCCTCGCTGGTCTCTTCCGACTTGGCTCCGGCTGCAGCACGTTTTGATGTAACGCGAGAACGATGACGAGGCCGGCGGGCAGCCGGTTGAGCTCCAGGCGATTGAGCAGGAGGTTCTTGTTGTGATTGTTGTTCTGACGTCTCTTCCGTGCGAGGCTAAACCGATCGTGTAAAGAACTGAAGGCTAGTTGACTGGAACGCTCTGATGAAGTAAACTTGTATAGACTTGCCACTAATAGTTGACAGCCAGATTCGATGCAGGCTATTTGGATCAATTCCAGGTAAGGATCAACATGAGTCGGATCAGCGAAAAACGTCTGGTCTACGTCTACGAAAAAGGTTTTCTATTTTCCGCCAGATCGCTTACTATACATGCGGTCGATCAGGCGATCACCATACGGCAAATACGTTCTCAATTTGCTTTCCATCGCGGCCACTTCGGATTCCAATGTCGAGCAGCGCTGCGTGACGTCCTTGTGGTAGCAAACTATTTGCTTAGATCTGTAAGCATACGTTTTTATTAGATTCCTATATTTATCTTCGTTTTAGATAAAACGGCCTGGGTCAACGTTACCGATTGAGCAGTTCGCCGGGGGTTTCCACCTCTGCCATTCCCAATTCCTGGAGCCGCACCTTCAGCAAGCCAACGCCCTAAAGCAGGCAATTCGAAAGCATATCAACAAAAAATACCATATCTTGCTTCAGATGGTCGATATTTTGGGTGCAGACGCGCAGGCGCTCCTTTAACTCAATTTGTTTCAGTTCTTCAGCCTGAAATAAAGCAAAATTAAATCAGTCATTCAGCTGAAATATGTTTGCCCATCATACCTACCCGAATTTCCTGGCGCACCGCGCTAAAAAAAGCATCGGAGATAATGAATGGGCACATCTCGCTGAACTGCTCCCGGATTTTAACTAAAAAATCATCAAAGAATACAATCATCGACCCACTCAGGTATTTGTCGAGCTCATTCGCCGGATTGAGCACCACACAGCCGGGTGGGATGTGGAGTGAGTCGGCCGAGATGGGAAGGCGAGCTAAAAAGTTGTACGCTTATCGTGATGTGAATTCATTGATTACCAATGCCAGCCTGCTGCTGTCGAAGAATTTCCTCGTGCATCTGCTCAACACCAGAAATTGCGTCTTCAGATAAACGACCGCGCAGCTGAATTCAGAATTTTTAGTAACTGGCGGTTCGATTATACCTTGCTGGCCGATGTAGTGGTAGATGGTGTCGATCCTTTTTTAGGCCTACCCCGAGGTCTGCCGTCTTTGGTGGCTGCGCGCTTTTTCTGAAAAAGCTTTTATAAATTTGAGCAGCTTGAAAGTTTAGACTTCAAACTATTAAATCTACCCACCGAAGTCGGTGTATAATCTCCGTCTTGGTCCCAGTTGACCTCTTGGTAGCTCGCGGTGCTTGCCTTCGCTCTTTTCCGAGATTGCGAAGTGGTCAGCACAAATTTTCTGAAAATGAATGCTTAGACTGAAAAAAGGTAGGTTATCCGGCCCGATCAACAATAGTTTTTCATTTTTATAAAAGTTACCTGTCATCCTCATCAATCTCGGTTTTAATACCAGAGGCGTTGGACAGCGGTGAGGCGAATCCAGGAATTGAGTCCGGAAACTTGGAGATCGACGATTCGCGGGACTCAGAACTCCTAAAACTGTATTTTACGAGATGTACGACAATCCACTTGTCCAAAAACTAAAACGGCAGACCATTGACCGCAAAGGAATATGACGACAAAGCTTTATTATGCGATATTCACTCCAACAATCATGAAAGACGACGTAATGGAGACCGGTATTGGAGGAGTACCCGTAATATATATGGCATACAACAAGGATATCTTAACTGAATGGGGGAGAGATTCGCAATGAGATAAATAGTCTAATAATCAACAAATATTATACAAAGAGCATGCAAGGGGGTAGTGTTAATCCACGGGATCGATATCCATTGAGAACGGATTTCTTAGCATGGGGCAGTTGTAAGAGGGATGCTTCAAAAGCGAGCTTGACTTTCTCCAACATTTCTGACGTTATTGGCGCTATTAGGCTGCATTCCGCTATCCGCGCTTCCTTTTCTGGGCCTTGCCATTCTTGCTCTGTGACTGGTAAAAAGGGTGCAATATCATCTAGTGAGTCAAAAACCTCGTTGAGACGCTTCTTGGCCTTAGTCTTGGTCGCGGGCGCTTTCTTGTTATCCGGCTCGGCAGAGGTGGGTTTCTTCCTAACAAAGCAACTACAGCTAGCTTCAAAGCAACAACACGAAAAGCACAACACGCCAACCAGCAAAAATTATGTTAGTTTGCCGCAAAAGGACGAACGGGTCAATTTTTGAAGCGTACTGACAAAAATATACCTCTGGCTTGTTTTGCTGCTGTTGCTGCGGCGCTCGTCCAGGGACGGGGTGCTCGAGTTCTTCTTGTTTTTGTACTCGAAGTAGCGTTCAATCTGAAAGTGAGAGTGAGGATTAAAAAAAACTGAATAATTCAGTACCTTTGCAGGATTGACGACATGAAGATAATACGGAACATGTCCGCCAGTCCAAGAGGCTGGAGCGTTGACGGTTCGCAGGCTTGTAACGTCCAGCATCATTGAAAGATCTAAAATTTAAAGATTTTGACAGAGAAACAATGTATTAAAAATCCAAAATAGGCTTTTTACTTACCATTGAGATCACGTTCGCGCAGCTCGGGAACCGCTTTGCTCTTTGCGTAGGCCTTCGTCGAAATGATCTTGGTCCCAGGGGCACAATTCTTGATGATCGCGTCTTTGATCTTCTTGTCGAGGTCCGCGGTAAAGGCAAAGTTGTTTATGAAGATGATGGTAGCTTCCTAAATTCAAAATGAAATCTTTAAAACCACACAAACCTCAGTGATGAGCTGGAGGTGGTCTTGAGCGAGGAAATCGCCTTGAATCAGCTTGAAATCTCGGACACGCTTCCCATGCCATTTCATGAGACTGGAAATAAAAAGAATTAAGCCAGCAAATCAGAAAATACCTGCGGAAGGTGGACTCCATCGTCGCTGCGCACGTACTCGGAAATTTCGAGATTTCAATGCCAATGGCCTTTTTGACTTTGGTCCTTCCGGCAACGTAGCAAACAAGGTGTCCAACGCCAGAGCCTGTAAAAAGGTTGCGAATTCTGACATTTGCTTACCTAGATCAACAAATACGTCGTTTTCGGTGGCTTTTATATCCTCCAGCATCAACTCCAATTGATCGTAGCTGGTTTCGCCGTAAACCTAGAAGAATTTTGGGGACTTTCCAAAGATCAAACCTCGGAAGAGAAAGCCTCGTAGTGTTTGTTGAGGCGATTAACATCAGGCACAGCCCTTAAAAACTGTTGTTATTAAAATATATAAAGACTAACCGGTTAAACGCAGTTGAGCATATGAAATTGAGGAGCTGCGGAGAACAAGGCTCAACCGACCACTCTTCCACACCAGGACGCGTCTGCCCGCTCCACTAAAAAAAATGTTTGTGAAGCCAGCGGTTAATTGTAGCAGATCGAGCAACTTACACGCTAGACAAAATGAAATAAAACCCACCAGTTGAAAAGAAGTCGAGGCCAGCTTGTTGTACTTCGAAACGAGCTTGGAAATCTTGTCGTAACCAATGTTCGCGTAGTTATTCAAGTCAATCTCGATCGACTGGGCGAAAGTTTGGAGAGGCGCCTTGATCTCCGGGAAACGGGACATCACCTGCCTAAAATGACGAAGCGTTACTTTCGATAGCATTCAATTTACTTGAGATTCTCGATAACTTCCACAGCTGCCTCCTGGTTATCGCCATTGTCTCTCCAAGTCACCAAGAATGGCTTGTTGTCGCCGACCGGATGACCTGACGATTGTTTTCGTTAGTAACGTTTAGATGACTCACCATAAATCCCATGCAATTTGATAGTTTTTACCGGATTACTATCACTGGAATCGGCCGAACTGATAGATGAAGTTTCCAACTAAATCGAATATCGAAAGAATCTCTAACCTTACCCTATCGCCCGATGATTTGCGATGCACACTGGGCGATTTAGAGGTCCGGTCTTTGAACTGAAAAGATATTTAAAGAGAAAACTTTCGGAATAATACCCTTTCTGCAGAAGATTTACTGTGCAGACTCGGTGACTTGGAGCTGCGCTCCTTGAACTGGTCCATGCCAGCCAAGAATGGTGAAGGATCACTGAAAATGGCGAATTAGAAAATATTATATGCTTGTCACACAGAAATATTGGAAACGGAAGTCACGGAAAAAGTGTAGTTGGAAACTCGGCCTCGGCTGGACCTAGTTCGGGCCGAACAATTGGCAAGTTTTCTACGCTGCGGAGGAATAGTTCGGCGAGAGGGGAGAGCGCAGAGAAGGCAGATGCTATGTGTCTACATCACAGGAACGCGCGTCGGTGCTCTCCCAATATCATGCTGTGTCTCTCGCACCCAATAGCACTCAGCTATCTCCGCTCGAGTCAGGATAAGATTCAAAAAGCAAACAATTGTGAGAGGTATTAACGCAAAATCTAAAATGAATGAGTCCAAATTACTTGCATTTTTCATAAAAACCCAATTACATGTAATATAAACCGGCAGCCACGCATTGGATGGGCAACTATTCTGTGTATAAAGATTTATCGACCAGTCAAATTTTGATATAGTTACAATACACACAAACGTCCTTCATTCCTTTGATTTCTTCGGCATCGCGTGCAATCGCCGGATCCATGGTCGATCTTTCTGAAATTTTTTCAGCAATAAAGTGGAGATGGAGAAATTTACCGGGCCTAATTCAGTCAGCTCATCCTCTGGGACCTTTCCCATCACACGAGCGGCATTTGAAAGTGTCCGATAGTCTACCCCATAGTCAGCCTTTTTGAATAAGAGTTCCATTTCCTAAAGCAAATAGTAAGCAGCTTCGATGTTCTCTACCTGTAGCATCAAATCTGTACGGTCTGCGTTGAATACGATTTCTGGCACATTCCCACCGCCCAAAGATTCGGCTAGCTGACGACGGAGCTCGCGGCGGTTTTCTTCCAACAATTTGGAAATTTCCTAAAAAGCCTTGCTATTTTTGGGGATAAAAACCTCGTCCCCGGTTCCTTTGCACAGCCAGCTGATGGAAATCGTCGAAAAGGATTTGTCAAGTTTTAGCTAAAGAATTGTATCAAATATTTGAACACAAAAAACCTTCGTAAAGGTGATATCTTTTCCGGCAAGCGCCTCGTGACATTGAATGATTTCATAAATCCTAAATCTTCTAGTTCAGAGCATGGGAAATAATGAATTATGGACACCATCCCCCGAAAGACACCATCCCGAAAAATTTGCATGCGAAAACTTCATTAGCATAGAAAAATAGCTCCTTTTTCTATAGTAGAGCTGACTTTTCGCATGCAAATTTTTCGGGATGGTGTCTTTCGGGATGGTGTCTTTTTCGGGATGGTGTCCATTTACCGAAATAATGTCACCTCCTCTGGAATATCTCGCTCAGTCGCTTCATCTTTTTGTCATCGAGTCTTCTCTGCTTGGTGCCAAGGGAGAGTAGAAACATCCGGTCTTCTAATCTGGAAGGCAAGTTAAAAAAAAACTACATTTGTTCCTACCCGACATCCAACCCAAATCGTTTTCCATATTGCATCGTGAAGACGCGGTCCATAGAAGCATTGTATCTCCATGCTTTCCCGGGCGTCGGGCCATAGCCGTTTTGCCCTAGAAAATAATAGAAAAGTAGCAGAATCAAACCTGTTGTCCGGCGACTTCTGAAATCGAGGGCTTTCTGTCGCAACTGGCAGCATCGGGGCGTGAAAGATGATGAAGACGGGCCCAGCCGACGTAGCAACATCTAGAATGACAATTTATAATTAATATAAATTTATTAAAAAGTAAAAAATGATAAAAATATTCACAAGGGAACGTTTTGGGGTGCCAGAGGGCCTTGGTTGCTTTCCATAAAGCGCCTCTGGAACCGTAACATTAGCGTTGTTAGTACTTTGTCGTACTTGCCGCCCGCGACGGAAAAGTGCTAACTAAAAATGTTTCAAGCTTTTGGTTTTCTTTTTTCTTATTTATGCACCAGCGCCCAAAACCCGCTTCGCGGGCCTTGGGCGCTGGAATGCGGCCTTTGCATAAGAAATTTGACTTTCCGATAGCTGGGGTCCTCCGGACCCCTTTCCCCACCGGCCACACATGCGCGTGCAAATTGCAAGAATGAGGAGATTTGTATTTTTTCACATTATGCAAATTACCCCAAAAATGAGTAAAACCGGCTGTAACTTTGTAAACTTGTATTTTATCAAAATTCTGAAAGCGCCATTGGAAACAGAAGGGTCGATTTCCCAAAGTGACGGAGAATTAGAGCATTTTATGTACGGGAAGGCCCTCAAATCGGGCCTTGAAAGTGACATCCACACACACACACACACAGTTACACGCCAAAATTATATAAGGTAGGATAATACACCTCATAAATATGAGGGGTGTCGTGGTCGTTTAATTAGTTTTTTTTCAGCGGCAATGAGGGTACCAACTCGGCAGCTCTTGGGTGCTGCGAATCAGAACGTCACGGCGCCGAAGCTGTGGCAGGATCCGGTCCTTGGATACTTCGAGGTATCTTGATTTCTTTTTCTTTCTATTGCTCCCTTGTATATCATTCACACCCCTTTTAGACTCACGGAAAGATGGAGTTCAAGGCCGGCGAGCAGTACAACCTGACCCAGGACGAGAAGAAAGCCGTCTTGTGGAGGTTCGTTTATTCTAACTGAATTTGCGATATTCATGGGTCGTGATTTATCTCGCCAAGCAGACGAATCACTTCTTGATCATAGGTACATTTTACTTTCAGGTATCGCGTCAAGGAGATCTTGAAGAAGGAGTATTTGCGACGAGAATACGATCCCCACAGCTTCAAGTACAAGGTATACCTTCAAAACACTATTGAAGACATTATTTTTAGGCTGGCGTTGTCATGGATCCTGCCATGTTCCGCTGGTACTCGGCTGACATGACCCAAGCCGAGTTTTTCCGCGCTACCCCTCGATCCGTGTTCCTCTACATGGGAAGCGTCTTCCTCGCCTTCTACCTCTACACTAGGCTGCTCTATGTTCCGATTGTAAGTTATAATCGCTTATTTTAATGCTTATGTAGCCGAAATATGTCTATTCGCAATTTCTAAATATTTTTCAGGACAAGAATAACGAGGCGTGCCTCGACGGAGACCTCTTGTGGTGGGACCGGCAACAGGGCCGAATGCAGTTCACTGCCGGAAGTGGCATCCTCTCCCCGACCATTGGAATCGAATTTTAACTGGCTCGCAGTGTCATTAGATAGTTGTCGTTTTATACTACACCTCATTTGTCTTCTGTATAATCGCCTTATCATCGTGGGCTTGTAAAAAGATGTGTTTATTGGATGTTCGCCGAATAAATAGATTACGATTTTTCGATTGTCGAGTTCTTTTGTACGAATTTCATTTGTTATTTGGGCAAGTCCTGAACTCGGTCAACCCTTTGTATAGTCGATGAGCGAAGACGTCATCAAGGAGGTGATACGCGAAGCCAAAAAGTTACTTTTCGAGAAGAAAGATGAGGCTGCTATGGAGCTATGCGAGGTTTCTAGGATTTCCGTCTACAAAAATTCGTTGCAGAAACATATCGAAGATGGCGTCAAAGATTACATGATCTACTGCTTCGCGGCCCTCGCAAATGCAAATCAAAACTACCCTGTCGATTCATCCACACATTATATAGGGGTAAAAACACTACTTTTTCACTAACCTCTGATAGGCAATAAAAATAGACGCGTCAAAGCCGATTGCCTGGCAGGGTCTTTTCAAGCTGTATGACAAACAGGGACTTCCGGTGGATGAACGAGCTATTGAAACTGCTGAAAAGGCGGCAACCTTTGCGTGAGTTCCTTGGTTTTAACCAAAATTCTGCTATTGTAGCGCGGATGACGAGAAAAAGGCATACTGTCTGCAGAAGAAACGAGAGTTCCTTTTGACGCTGAAGCGCTTTGTAGACTTGAAGGTATTGCAAAATTTGTTTATAACTTTCCTTAGGAAGATCCGGGCGAAGATCCTGTTTTCATGGGGAAGCTGATCGAAGTGCTGACAGAAAGAGAAAATAAAAGTGAAAGCGAAAAATCATTGGTACGGATTGAGGTTCACAAAAAAACCCATTCTCGCCTAGCTTCTGCAAGCTTTCAAAACCATTGGCTTCGAACTGGTATGGAAGGATGTGGATTTGCATCGCTGCTACGTGAAATATCAATACGAGGTAACAAACGCTAAATTTGTATTTTTTTTACTGTCTTTAGATTTCTAAAACTTATTGCGACTGGGAGCAGGAATTTATGCGTTTTTGTGAATTCCATCCGAAACAGAAGCTGGACACTTGGATGTGTAAGTCGAATTGCTCCGTGCGCTTTTATTGACTTATATGCAGATGAGAGGCTGGATTATTTGATCCATATCGGCGTTCTGGTTCAAGGGGTGGTCAACGAAAATCTTTTGGACGTCTACAACCGCACTCACACTGATGAGGAGGATGACTTCGTGAGTTTTAGTCATCTTTTGACCTTTTGACGTTTCTACAGCCTCTCAATCTTCTCGACGCTCTGAACGATGAAGATTGGGATGATGCAGCTGGGATAGTGCTGGAAATCCCTGAAGTGAGCCTTGTAGAAAACGGCTTGGAGCCTGCAATTTATACGGCGGTTCGTGTGATGTACGAGGATGAAAATTACGAAAAGTTTGTTGTTTTCCTCGAAATGTAACATTGTTAGATGCCTATCTTATATCGCCCTGGCACAACAACGCACAAGCGACCCATTATTACGTGAACAGCTACATGGATACCGCGCCGCGTCGCTATTGGGCCTGATGACTCCAGAGTCCCTGAGAATTGGCCTTGGAATGTGTCCGTTGACGCCGAAGTAAATCCAATCACTTGGCATTAATCCTGTTTAGATTCGAGTATTCTGAAATCCTCCTGAACTTCCATAGTGGCCGTGAAGTGGTTGTCTCCGATATCAAGTCTGAAGCCAATCGATTGAGGTTTTCATTGTTTCAAGCTCTAAGAAATGGACAAGCCGCTGAGGCGAAGAGTATTGCGCTGGAAAGCGAGAAATTCGTATGTTTCTCCTTTTTTAATGAACTTTTTCCTCAGGATGGAACGCAGACCTGGCAAGACAACCTGATGCGTGCGGAAGCCAATTTGGCCGACGAGGCGACGCTGAAGCAACTTGTCGATCTCGGCCAAGACCATCCGAGTTGCGCGAAGGTTTTCTACTTTTTGGCTAAGGCGCTCCGAGGCAAAAATGTGACAAAGGTAAGTTTTCGTATTCCTGACCTTAAATTCCATTTAGGCTAAATCGTGTGCGGAAAGGGCCGTAAGTCTGAAAGAAGGATGCGAAGAATGCATATTGCTTTTGGACGATATCCTCATAGAGACTGGTTAGTGACGGGCGAGTTTGATTGAATGGCTTTTAGGCACCTCTCCATCCGTTCGCCTGGCTCAGCTCGAAAAGATGACGAAGCGCACACACTGGCTTCAGGAGCGCCTCTATCCGCTTTATCTCGGCGCCGGGCAAATGTTTGTCTCCATAAAAAATTATCACGGTTGTATAGAGACAAGGCGATCAACTCTCTACAACATCTCCTCCGCGACAACCCCGAAGATGCACATCTCTGGGGCGAATTGGGGGCTGCCTACCTGCAGCGAGGCAGTCTACAAGCCGCCGTCAATGCTTATCTCGAGGCAGCCAGGCTTCAGCCGGACAGTGATTATATCCTTCCGGTCGGTTGATTAATACTATCGAGGATTCATGCTTTTTAGATGCTTCACGTTCTATTTCGTCTGGGAAATGTGGACGAGTTGTTGGAGCACGCGGATAATTGGCGAGCCACTCGGAACGCTGACATCGGCGGCGATAAAGATGCCCATTTCTTCGTCTCGCTTTTGGGAGATCCAGGCAAAGTTCACGAAATGCAAGGAACTGACAGGCTCGGAAATGATTGGTAATTTCATTTGCTAAAATAGTGATGTTTTATTTAGAAGCCCTACAGGAAATCTATGACAAGCTGGGCGCGCTATTGGACAAACGGCTTCCTTATACCATTCTGTATAAAACCGCGGCGGACATACTCATCTTTTGCGCCTCTTTCCATACGGACGTCTTCAGCCAATTAACTGTAAAGGTTTTTGGTTTCCTGGAAACAAGTGATTCAGTTTCCGGCTACTCTCACCATCAAGGAGCCGGCTGACTGCTGGAAAGGAGCGATTTCGCTGTTGGGCGCTGTGCTTTCTGCCAAGAACGATTCCGCACCTGCGTGGGCGGATATCGGGATAGCCTTGACATTGGGTAGCCGAGCTTTGGCTTCAATACCTTATGCTAAAAAGTAAGCTTTTGATAGCTTTATTTGACGATCGTTCTTAGGGCCGTGAGCTGCCTGAAACAAGCGATTCGTCTGAGTGATGACGCCGGAATGCGCTCGATTTATTGGGGCAAATTGGGAGATGCTCTATCGGCTAAAGAAGCCCCCTTCCCGCAACAGCAGCATGCCTACCTGCGGTGGGAATCATGTTTTTTTGGGATCATTCCGTTCAGGGCAATTGAATTGAATCGTGCCAACTCGGAGGCCTGGTGTCGTCTCGCCTTGTTGTACGCAAAATTTGTAAGTCGACCCCCCCGATTTACCTACATAATGCCGATTCACAGAATGCCGATTTACAGAATGCCGATTTACAGAATGCCGATTTTACAAAATGCCGGTTTACAGAATGCCGATTTTACAAAATGCCGATTTACAGAATGCCGATTTACAAAATGCCGATTTACAAAATGCCGATTTACAGAATGCCGATCTTACATAATTTCGGTTCTACATCCAAAAATACAAACCGGATCCCCAGAAAAAACATTATCCGACTTGGCCATGGCGGGTTCTCGAATTTTTTGCCGCGTAGGGATCGGGGATTACGAGGAAATCGCAAGTTTCAACGCATGCCTTTTTTGCTGGTCGCCGACACTTCCAACGTGCTCAGCCGCAGCGACAAAACTCAACGATTCATTATTATTTCTTGGTTGACAATGCGTCGAGAGGAAGGGAAAACTGTTTGATAGAAGAATTTAATTTAGTACCCATGGGCGGCCGCTTGGTAACGTGGAACTAGGTTTCTCTGAAAAAAAGAACAGTAAAGCTAGGCCTCAGGTCTGGCGGTTTCGCCATGTCCAAGTCGGATAATGTATTTTCTGGGGATCCGGTTTGTGTTTTTGGATGTAGAACCCAAATTATGTAAAATCGGTATTCTGTAAATCGGGATTCTGTAAATCGGCATTCTGTAAATCGGCATTTTGTAAATCGGCATTCTGTAAATCGGCATTCTGTGAATCGGCATTCTGTAAATCGACATTCTGTAAATCGGCATTCTGTGAATCGGCATTATCAGCCTATACCCCCCCCCCTTATGTCAATATGTATTCCTAGAACCTGCATAGTGAATCAAAACAGGCATGCGAAACCGGCCTGAAGATCAACCCGGAATGTGGATTTATTTGGACAGTTTACGTTGGTTTTTTTCATGCTAGTATAAAAATCGGATTTAGGGACTGTTAGCGGTGTATGATGCGAAGACTGTGGCCCATGAGCCGGCACTACTGGCTGATTTGGAGGTCGTCGCCATCGACTCGTTTTGCCAGGCCTTGACCTATCGTCCGACGGTATTTGTTGTGTTTTTCTCTGATAAGATTTTTTAGGAAGTTGCTGTCGAAGAGCTCTCTTCTTTCCTCGCTCACTCGGACCGTCATTTCGATGCGGCTGGCTCTCGAATCAAGTTTGAGAAGGTGTTGGCGCTGCTTGGTAACCTTTTCTATCTTCCAAAAATCCGTTTAGATCGGGGTGATCGCGCGCCACATTTCGTACTGCGGCTGACACTGTTGGCGGAGTGTTTTGGCTACTTCGATGAGGCATTGGACATCCTGATGTCGTCGGGTCCCTCCGGATTCGCCCAACAACAGATTGCGCGATTGAAACTGTGGGATCTCATTTTCGAAAGCAAATACTTTGTTTAGCTATCGAAGCGAAAAACCGGAAAGCAGATGTCCCGTTGAACTGGAGGGATTGGCCAACCTCGCTTCACTTCCTTCTGAGCAATTAGCTGGTAAGGTCTTGACGTTTGTCATAAATTATTTTCCAGATTTACTTGGAGCAAGAATGCCTGTATACAATAGCATCTTCGAGAAATTGGCTACTGGCGAGGGATTGAACGCGCTTTGTCGGTACGCCAAGCCGCCGATCCACATTCCACTTGTCATTTCATATATCTTGGCTTACAAAAAGGTTATTATTGAGCTTACGCCTTAAGCTATATTACATTTTAGGGGCTCCACAAAGCTAGCATTAATGCCCTGCACGACGTTCGCCCGCGTCATGAATTTTTGGATGTTTGGCCAATCGAGGTATAGAATCTTACATTAATTCCCAATTTCTGTTTTTAGGTGGATGACGAGCTTGACAATGAGCTGAGTTATCTGGAAGACGATGGGGAAGAGCCGTTCCGTCTTCGACACCAATATGCTAAAGTACTGCCCACTTTTGTAAACTAATGTTCCTTTTCAGAAGCTCCACAAGTGGCTGGCTGAACGTCGGGCAATTTGGGTCGCCGAGCATCCTAAAGAGCCCAATCAAGATGTGATTTCTGTGCTAACCGATTAGTTTTTGTTGTACTCTCTTTTTATTGTATTTTTTGGTTCTTTTGACGGGTTTTTCTGTGTCCCGGCAATTGCGTCATTGTTTCCACCTCGGGTTTGCCGAATATTTGCACAATGTTTGCACACCCTTGAACAGCTGTGATAATACTTCTGGTCCCAATACTTCGTTTTCTTCCTGGGTAGCTTGTATCTTTTCCGGTTCCCTGTGAATTATTGTATATGAAAATGAAAATTAATAAATTTGTGGGCGCCATGATCAATGCAACGTTTTTGGAAATGTCATGGTTACTTGGCCATATTTGCGAAGAATTTATTGCTTTTGGGCAGATTTCTTGCCCTTGACGGCAAGTTACGGGGGGAGCGCTTCCGCGTGGCGGGTACGCGTGTTTCCTCTCTCTTTCTCGAGCGAGTGCGGCCGGTCCCGTCCTCGGGCGGCCTTTCGGTCTCTTTCCGAGCCCACAGGACGTCTTTTTCTCGCATTTCACAGCCCGAATTCCATCGCAGCCGTTTCCGATTCTTCTCCAACCTTCTTCAAATTGATCACGTTGATTTGCTTCTAAATAGCTTATTGAAAACCTCCATTTCTGGAGCCCAGTGTAGAAAATAGATGCGTTTCAACTAGCTTTCCTTTTACCTTCATATGATTCAGCACTATTCACTTCAAAAAGTCTATTTATTTTACTTCCTTATGATTTATTGAGCGTCTATTTCATTGTTGGGAGGCCTTGCCTCCTGCAAACCCCCCCCAAAAACCGAAACCAACCCCAAAAAAAAAAAAACCAAAAAACACCCAAAAAAAAAAAAAAAATTCCCAAAAAATTTTTCCCCCCCCTCACAAAACCCCTCCCCGAAAACAAACCCCAAAAAAAAAAAAAAAAAAAAAAAAAAAAAATTAAGAAAAAATAACAACCATCACAAACTTTTCCAAAAAATTCTTTTTAAAATTTAAAAAAAAACAAAAAAAAAATAAAAAAAAAAAAAAAAAAAAAAAAAAAAAAAAAAAATTAAAAAAAAAAAAAAAAAAAATCCCTTTTTTTGAAAAAAAAAAAAAAAAACCCCCCCCCCCAAAAAAAAAAAAATTTTTTTTTTTTTTAAAAAAAAATTTCCCCCCCATCTTTTCAAAAAAAACCAATTTTTAAAAAATTTTTTTTTTTAAAAAAAAAACCTTTTTAAAAAAAAAAAAAAATTTTTTTAATTTTTTTGTTTTTTTCCCCACCCCCCCCAGGAACCCCCCCCCCCCCGCCGCCAAACCCACAAAAAAAAAAAAAATTTTTCACAAATTATTCCAAAAATTATATAAAAATTTCCCAAAAAAAAAAAAAAACCCCCGAAATTTTTTTTAAGTACAAAATATTTCCAAAATTTTACCAATTCCCCAAAAAAAAAAAAAAAAACCCCCCAAAAAAACCTTTTTAATTCCTCAATTTTTTTCGGAAAAACCGGAAAAGGCCCCCAGGAATTTCACCCAAAAAAAAGGCCGGCGCTCCGTTTTTTTTCCCCCCCCCAAAAAAAAAAAAAAAAAAAAAAAAGGGCCCCCCCAACCCCCCCCCCCCCCAAAATTTCCCCCCCCCCAAAAAAGAGCCCCTTTCCCCACTTCCCCCCCTCCTTTAAATTTTTAAATTTGAAAAAAACAAAAAAAAAAATTCCCCCCCCTCCCCCCCCCCCCCCTTTTTTTTTCGGGACCCGGACATTTAAAAAAATTAAATATTAAATATTATTAAATATTTACCTTTCTGAATGAAATAAAGGTAAAGAACAGGCTAGTTGAAGCTATCTATTCTTTACCCCAGGTAACACCATCCATTCTCATCTACTAACACTCATGTCTTCCTGTCCAACTTCCGTTTATCATGAGAGCCTTTACATTTATATTTTTCAGCATGGCTGCCGAACTGGAGGCTGAGATCGTCGCCCAGGGCGAACTGGTGCGCAAGGTGAAGGGCGACCCCAAGAGCAGTGAAGCCGACAAGAAAGAGGCCATCGAGAAGTTGCTAGCCCTGAAACTTTCGTTCAAGGTTGATTTTCCTTTGTGTAACATGACTATTAACGTTTAGGAAAAAACTGGACAGGAGTACCAGGCTCCCGGAGGCGGGCGACGCGACAACAAGAAGGGCGGAGAGAACAAGAAAAAGGTATTGTTTGATTACGTTGCTTTTACATAGCTTCTAGGAAGAGAAACCGAAACAAGCCAAACTTGAAGAGGCCAAGGGAGATGGAAAGAAGAGCAAGCTGGGCATCGAGACAAAGAAGGACGACAATTACTCCGAGTGGTATTCTCAGGTGCACTGATATTTCTTTATTCATTTATTCGGTGTTTAGGTGATCACAAAGGCTGAGATGATTGAGTACTACGACGTCTCCGGCTGTTACGTGCTGCGCCCTTGGTCATACGCCATTTGGGAAGGAATTCAGCAGTGGTGAGGCGCGCCTATGGATAAAATAGATGTTCTTTAGGTTTGATGCCGGAATCAAGAAGCTCGGCGTGAAAAATTGCTACTTCCCGATGTTCGTTTCAAACGCTGCCCTGGAACGCGAGAAGACCCACATCGCCGATTTCGCCCCGGAGGTACCAATGCGGATTCTGGAAAATATACATTTTTAGGTCGCCTGGGTCACGAGGGCCGGAAACTCGGAAATGGCCGAGCCAATTGCCATCCGCCCCACATCCGAGACTGTGATGTACCCCTCGTACAAGAAATGGGTCCAATCCCATCGTGACTTGCCGATCAAGCTCAACCAGTGGTGTAACGTTGTGGTCAGTTTAGAAGTCTCTACTATGCCTTTCCCCTTTTCAATCCGATGTTCTCATTTTCAGCGCTGGGAGTTCAAGCACCCTACTCCATTCCTGCGTACCCGTGAATTCCTTTGGCAAGAAGGTAAAATAACTATTTATTGCATAAACACTTAATTTAGGCCACACCGCTTATGCCAACGCCAAGGATGCCGAGGAGGAAGTGTTCAAGATCCTCGATCTCTACGCTGGCGTCTACACGGATCTGCTGGCCGTTCCCGTCGTCAAGGGACGCAAGTCAGAGAAGGAGAAATTCGCCGGTGGCGACTTCACGACGACTGTTGAAGCATACGTGCCTGTGAATGGACGCGGTATTCAGGTAGGGAAACCTTTTCGTGTTTATCTTTCTCATTAGGGAGCCACATCTCATCATCTTGGCCAGAACTTCTCCAAAATGTTCGACATTTCGTTCGAGGACCCCAGCGGGAATGGCCAAAAGGTATTTTTTATGGAAACTATTTAGTAATAGATATTCTAGATGTTTGCCTACCAAAATTCGTGGGGACTTTCCACCAGGAGCATCGGCGCTATGGTGATGATCCACGCCGATGACAATGGACTGGTGCTCCCTCCCCGAGTGGCCTGTATTCAGGTATGGAACCAGTCAGCGATCCCGGTGGTCCAAAGTGGGTCATGCGCTGGTCCCGAAAAGGGGTCCAGGCGCTGGTCTGAGGGCTAGTATTAGCTTTTTTTCGGTGCTTACGCACGTTCATTAACCAGGAGCTATCCTGTCGGCTCGCCGACTATCTCAACCGTACTAAGTAAGTTGTGATTATTTATTTGAGCCAAATGACCGAATGAACCAAAGAGATAAAGCAAAACGGCAGAAAAATTGCAGCGACAGTTCAAGCCACGCGCAATGAAGTGTCGAACAGCTGCAGAAGTGCCTAAAATTTATTCTTGGTAAGATTATTCTAGAGTTTAGCCTTATTCTTTTCTTTCAATCTCAAAATTTGATCTTCTGGCCATTACATACTTACACTCTGACCTTCCTTAATTTGCATACTACCTTATTTCGTACATGGTTTCAAGAAAATTGTTCCGGACTTTGGACTCGAATAACTTTTGATAGAAGAATATTTCACGATGCGTTACCATGCCAGAATGCTTCAAGGTGTCTGGAACACCGATTTAGATCAACTTGATTTTTTCGATTTTTGTGTACACAACTGTACTATTGACGCTGGTTACGACCGAAAATTGTGCGTTCTTGATTGGGTGGTGGGAAAATTCTGATTTTTGGCCTATAAGTAGCTAGAATTGATTTAAAAGCCTGGTTAAAGTTTTTCAATTTTTGAAGTTCTAGTTGATTTTTTACTAGAAAAACAAAATACACCATTTTTCAGCTTTTTTACGTTTAATTCGCAACTCGCTATAAATTCGCTGCCCATGGCTGATCTTTTGCAAATGGTGACTTCGGATGATCCTCTTTGGCTTCACGCCAAAGACTATGGACTATGAACACCCGATTCTATGGTATTTTTCTATGCTTGCCAAAACGTGCCCCAGAGGGATACTGTGGGTTTTGTTTTTCGTGTCTTTCTCTTGACTCTAAGCTACGTTCTCGCTCAACATTTGATCATTGGTAAACAACGGTAGGGGGCAGATATCGGCCAAATCTCTCTGGATTCTAGCGACACACTCCAAAAATATGCAAAAAACTTATTTTTTTTATTCGGTTACGGAAATTTCTATATATTTTGATGAATCGGACCGAAAACTACTGTACTGTTATTTGTTTTCGGGTAATATTGAAACGATTCTATGGTGAAATGATCGAGAAAACTGCGATTTTCTGTTTTCTACAGCAACCCGCCTGGGGTGTATTTTAGCATGCCAAGGCAAAATTCCCAAAAGTGCCCGTTTTTCGATTCAATTCTGTTCTATAGGTGACTATGAGAATCCAAGCAAAAAATTATTTTATTTTTAACCAGCACCCAAAACCCGCTTCGCGGGCCTTGGGCGCTGGAATGCGGCCTTTGCATGAAAGGTTTGACTTTCTGATAGCTCGGGTCCTGCGAACCCCCGCCCCGACCACACGCGCGAGTGCAACTGGCCAGAATGAGGAAGTTTGTATTTTTTCGCATTATGCAAATTAGCCTTCAGGTACCCCAAAAATCAATAAACCCGCCTTTAACTTTGTAAACTTGTATTTTATCGAAATTCTGAAAACACCATCGGAAACAGAAGGGTCGATTCCCCCCGGTGACGGAGAATTAGGGCATTTTATGCACGGGAAGGCCCTCAAATCCGGCCTCAAAAGTGACATCCACACACACACACACATACGCGCCAAGATTATGTTATTTTTAATTTAAATTATTAAAATTAACTTTGAAAGTGGTGCCTTAATAAAACGAGTGGGGCCCCTCTCCCGGCTGACCACGCCCCGCTTTCCCCGGCCCCTCTTCACCAGGCCCTTTCCCGCGCCCGGATCGCTTTTTAAGTTACTTTAATACTTTAATACTTTTTGATTATGTTAATTTATTATTTAAATCATTTGAAGTATCGGGATGGAATCTAAGTAGTTTTTTAAGGGGGTTTCGGCTATGGGGGGATTTTGGCTAGGGGAGGCATCTAAGGCTATCAGGAAGGTATCTAGGTAGTTTTTGAAAGGGATTTCGGCTAGGAGAGGCAGGGTTTGATGGGCTGGGAGAAAACCCCAGGCCTAAAAACCGCCTTGGAGGTTGTCTAACAAAGTTCTAAGGAGGTTTTATGGGTATCATTCGACGCGGGAGGGTGAGATGCATCGATTGAGGTGGTTTACAGCCTGATCCGATACTTATCCGGAAAACCGCAACCGTAAAACAGCTTTTTGCTAAGATTTACATAAATTGAGGTCTGGAGGTTTTCTAGCAAGGTACTAAGAGGTTTTTATGGGTATCATCTGACGCGGAAGAGTGAGACGCATCGAATGGTGTAGCTTAAAACCTTGATTCGTGTCCATTCCGGAAAAATATCCCCGTAAAACCGCTTTTTTGTTAAGATTTGCACAAATTGAAGCTTGGAGGTTGTCTAGAAACGTTCTAAGGGGTTTTTATGCACATCAATCGAACCGGAAGAGCGAGGTCCATCGATTGGTGTAGCTTAAGACCTGATCCGCCGCCTCCTAGTGGCCAACTATAGGCAAAAGTCTCGCCCCGTCCCAATCAAATCGAACCCTGAGGAGAGGTATCTGAAGCCATCAGGAAGGTATCTTCGTAGCTTTTTAAAGCGCACGTTCAGGTAGGACTCTGTCCAACGGATACACCCTATGGACGTGGGGACGGCGCGCACTGCCTGCCCGTGCTGTGACAGGGCCATTTCCCTCCTTTGCGGCGTGGGGCGTCCCTCATCCCCTCGCCAGGTTGTAGCTGTGGTTGACTGGTATCCATCCGCGCCTCCCGAGCGGGGGCCCAGGTTCGACCCCCGGCCGCGGCAAAAATCTTTGCTTATTTCCAAAAAACGTTCCTGAACGTGCCCTTTAAGGGCGTTACGGCTATGGGAGGCATTTGTAGCCATTAGCGGGAGTATTTTGGGAGAGGTAGGGATGGATGTGATGGTGTATTACATGAAGGGTAGCCCGAAGGCCAGAATCGTGGAACCATCTGGTGACAGTAGAATCATGGAATGATCAGGTTGAAGTTTATGGTTAATTTTCGATTAAGACCGAAAATAACGTTTTTTGAAAAGCGGGCTTCGAAAAGATTTTCTAAATTTGTCTGCCATGAAAAGTTTTTTGATTTCCATGGGTTCTAGTTTACTGCATAAGCTAAGTTTATCTTAAAAGTCTTGCTGCTAGCAAAGCTTCGAGAATTGTTTTACATTGCCTCGAATGGGTATATTTGGACTCGGCATGAATTTCTTTTGAGATACCCTGTGGCCCAATAAATTCGTAAATATAACCCTAGAATGCGCCAGTGAAATAGTATCAAGTAAAAATGTAACAAAAATTATCTCGCATAGTTTTGAATGTTTAAAAAGGGGTGAACGTCATTACTTCGAAAATCATTACTTCGAAAATCATTACTTCGAAAGTCATTACTTCGAAAAGTCATTACTTCGAAAAGTCATTTCTTCGAAAGTCATTACTTCGAAAAGTCATTTCTTCGAAAAGCCATTTCTTCGAAAAGTCATTACTTCGAAAAGTCATTTCTTCGAAAAGCCATTAACTTCGAAACGTCATTACTTCGAAACGTCATTACTTCGAAAAATATGCTAATTTGGAATGTTCATATCACGAAATTCATGACACTGACGATAAAACCATTGCGTAGGTACCATATGCCTATTCTATTAAGGCTATTACTGTGTAGAGTTTCGGTCTGTATTAGGAGTGTTAGTTACCCCATCTCTACGAATTATTATTTTGTTATAATGATCCTTGCAGTCAATCACTGAAGCATCACGATGTTTACCTAAAAATGTCCGTGTATGTTTTGATGCTCTCTGAAGTGGCATCAGAAAATGTTCGTACTAACCAACTAAAACATCAAAAAATCTGGGGGTAAAGTAAAAATTTGCCGATTTTTTTCATGCGACGTATAAAAAACTCGATCGAATAAACGGACCAATAGAGGCAGAAAGGTGTCAATTAGCGTACGTGCTATGCATGTTTTTCGAAGTAATGGCGTTTCGAAGTAATGGCGTTTCGAAGTAATGACTTTTCGAAGAAATGACTTTTCGAAGTAATGACTTTTCGAAGTAATGACTTTTCGAAGAAATGACTTTTCGAAGTAATGACTTTTCGAAGAAATGACTTTTCGAAGTAATGACTTTTCGAGGTAATGACTTTCGAAGTAATGACTTTTCGAAGTAATGACTTTCGAAGTAATGATTTTCGAAGTAATGATTTTCGAAGTAATGACTGGCAGCCTTTAAAAAGTCCATTTTTGGAGTTTAAATGGCCGTGAAAGTTGTGTACCTCGAAAAACTATCTCGAAAACTACCTTACCAAATTCGCTGCAAATTTGTGACATAACCTAATTTGGGGCGGGGATCATTTTTCTAATACATTTCAAAGCATGAAAATGGCCGGAACATCGGAATCTCGCGTACTCAAATGAGTTTTTCAAGAATTACTATTTAATAGGAAGTTGTCGCCACTCTAGAAATACACTTAAAAGATGCGCAATTAAATTCTACATAGAATGATGCGTTTTCCAACTGGGCGACAGATTCAAGTTCGAAAAATGGCATTTAGAAAATTAGCAAAAACAGCTCAAAAACATGGATAGCTTTTTTTCGCAACCGGAGGCATGCAATTGGATATTGATGCGAAGTCCAGCCTCCTAAAAAAAAAAGAGCAAAAAGAAATATCGTTTCTACGCGAAATTGGGCTCGGCGGGGAATCCTCTGGGGGCACTGGGGACAGCCACTAGTGGGCGCCGCCAGGTCCGAGGCGAACGACCCGAGTTCAATCCCAGCCTCTTTGAGAAATCGAATTTCTTTTTGCTCTTTTTGCAATCGCTTTGTTTTGGGCCCTAGATACGAAACACTGTGTTTCTGTTCAGAAATACGCAAGACGCGACAACTACCTATTAAATAGAATTCTTGAAAAACTCATTTGAGTACGCGAGATTCCGATGTTCCGGCCATTCTCATGCTTTGAAATGTATTAGAAAAATGATCCCCGCCCCAAATTATATATTGTCACAAATTTGCAGCGAATTTGGTAAGGGAGTTTTCGATATAGTTTTTCGAGGTACGCAACTTTCACGGCCATTTAAACCCCAAAAATGAACTTTTTAAACATTCAAAACTATGCAGCCCTACTAATTCGAACTTGCTCTATCAGATGGCATAAAAAAACGGGGTCGAAAAACTGTGACAAGCCTAGTTCGGCTCTCTGGCAAATGACCTTTTAAGCATTCTGGCATGGTAACGCATGGTGAAATATTCGTCTATCAAAAATTATTCGAGCCCAAGGTCCGGAACAATTTTTTTGGACACCCTGTACTCTGACCTTCCTAAATTTGCATACTTCTGTAATTCTAGAAAATATCTCAGATCTTTCATCCAGCGAGAAAAGCCGAACGAGAGCTTGAAAACATCATCATTCATCATCTCCAAACAAAATCTGTTCTTGCTGAACGCAGACCCATTTTTCGCTAATTCCAGTCAAAACATTTTTTATGAGAAACTCATTTTTGATTCCAATGACGGATTCACTTCAAATTTGGCCTCATGGTAGATCTGGGTCTACTAAACACTAGGAAAAAAATGTCAGAATTTTTGGAGCCGGTTTAGACAGGTTTTGGGGATCGCGGGCATTCGCCGTTTTTCGGTTTTGTAGTCCTCTAAATTAGCATATAGAGTGGGGCTCAGTGGACCCCGGGTAGCCCCAAGTATGGGCTACGGTAGGCCAAAAAGAATATTTAGATTACTTGCTTCTGCTTCGAGCCTGGGACCGCGGAATATGACTTTTTTGTATTTTTTTAGTCCGTCAATTCCGCTTCTTTCCTCTTAACAGGGGGGAGGCTCTTACCAAGGTCAGAGTAAGATCATAGCAGCCGTGTGATTTTGAGATTGAAAGAAAAGAATAAATTTTAGGCATTTCTGCATCTGTTCGACACTTCATTTCGCGTGGCTTGAACTCTCGCTGCAATTTTTCTGCCGTCTTAGTTTATCTATTTGGTTCACTCGATCATTTGGCTCAAACAAATGATCACAACCTACGGTTGAGGCGGAAACCGCAGTATTCAACAGCCATCTTGATATTTCCCGCAAGTGAAAAAACGTTGTAAAATTCTCAAAAATTTCGCGCTGCTCTGCGCCGCAGGCTAACAGTCCCCAGTCTTACCCCTCCCAGCGCCTTTCCCAATGTTCCAATTTCCCGGAGCTGCGCTGACTGTATGGAACCTCTTGTTGTTGATCAACACTTTTCTAGGCTATTGCTCTCCCTGTCGGAATTACTGCCCAAACCAGCGAGGAGCAGCGAAACAAGATTACCCGGGCCACTGAGAGCATCGTCGCTCAATTGGTCGAAGGTGGCGTTCGCGCCGAAGCCGATCTCAGGTATTTCATTCATTTGAAATATTATTGTTTCTTTTCAGGGACAACTACTCGCCCGGCTGGAAGTTCAACCACTGGGAGCTGAAGGGTGTCCCGATCCGCGTCGAGGTATTTACTTTTAATTGTTTTTTTGCAATGTTTTCCTTCAGATTGGCCCCAAGGATTTGGCAGCCAACCAGGTGACGGCCGTCATCCGATTCAACGGCGAAAAGAAGGCCATCAAGCGCGATAACATTGTCGAGTCGTTGAAGAGCCTCCTTGAGGAGATTCACACGGCAATGTACGAAAAGTAAGTTCTTCTTCCCTTGCAGTCATTTTTGTATAGGGTTCTCGCCGCTCGCAATGCCCATATGAAGGTGACCATCGACTTCGAAGAGTTCAAGAATCTCCTCGACGAGAAGTTCGTGCTGCTTTCGCCTTTCTGCGGGGAGCCCAACTGCGAAGACGACATCAAGCAGCACTCAACAAGGTATCGTAGGAATTCCGATGTAAAGATTTTTTAGGGAAGGCCAAGGTGACGCCGGCCAGGCACAAATGGGCGCCAAGACTTTGTGCATCCCCTTGGAACAGGTCAGTGTGCTGATTCCTTTTTTTGCTTAGTCAAAAGTTTATTCCTAAAGACCCGAGTATCAAGATCATAATCTATTGGCTTTGTCGGGTGGTAGCATGGCACGTCTATTTCTCCATCTCCTTCTCCATCTCGATGAGCTTCTTGACACCGTCGTACATCTGCTTGACGGCCTGGTACTCGGATAGACCGAGGCGAGCGCGGTTCGAGATGTCGTAGACGCCGCCTTCGGATTCGGAGTGTTCACCGTGGATGCCGCGGACTTGCAAGTTCAGCTTGTCGCAGATTTTCTGAAGAAGCCGATGTGGGATCGATTTATTTGACCGTACCTTGAAGTCCTTGCGAGCCGACACCTTCGGAAGCTTGATGTGTACAGAGGCGCGCACCGTGGATCCGAGGTTCGTCGGGCAGAATGTCAACCATCCGAGACGCTCGTCACGTGAGAACGGCACTTGCTTCTCGATGTGCTGGAGGCGATGGATTGCACTTATCTGCGGAGCCAAACTACCCACCTTGACACCCTTAACGAGGCGGTCCAGAACGGCGCCAACATCACTGCCCTCCTGCATAGAGATGATGCGCATGTGGTCTTCCTCGTTCACCCAGATCAGGAAGGTCTTGTCATTGTTGTGGAAGATTCCTCGACCCTGCAGAGACAATATTCAACTCCGGAAGCGGCCGCAAACCTTTGGCCAGAAATTGCAGGCGTTGGCGTGCTGCAGATGGCGATCGCCCTCCTTGAACAGGAAGTGGTCGGCGATGAGCTTGTTCTGGTCGCCCTTGGTCATGCCGTCAAGCGGGTAGTATTTGCCCTTCAGCTGGCCGGCGAACGTGTCGAACGCCTTCTTGACCTTGCCCTCCATGGCCAGGTAGTCGTCTTGCTTCAAGCAGGGGTTGAACGGGTAGCCGGCCATCGAACGGCCACAACTGAAAGGAGTTTCATTATTGGGGAACTGTATTTAAGGAAGCTTAACCAACTTTTAGGTAACAAACCCACCGAATGCGAGTCGACTTGATGTACTTGCCCTTGGGGTCGAGCGGAGGGAATTGGTGGATCTTGTCCTCGCCCAGGTCGACAGCGGGCTGCTTCTCATGGGGCTTGAACCCGTGGTACTCCTCGATGATCGGGTCGAAGAGGCCGGCGAAAACCTTGTACGACTCGGCATCCGGGGCATACACTCCGACACCAGCGTCGAGGTTGAAGACGCCCGAGCGGATGCAGTCGTACAGCGTGGCTCCGAGCTTGGTCTTCTTGTGCTTGAGATCGTCGACGACCTCTTTGGTCAGATGCTTCTTCAGCAGCGACTTGCACTTGTCGGCCTCGGGCCCGTTCAGCTTCTTGTAAGCCTCCTCAATTTTGCGGACCGTGTCGGAGTCGACGTCATTTTTCAGCATCGTCGCCTAGAAAATTTTTTTTGAGGTATGGGTGGGGATGCTAAATTGGAATATATCTGAACTGACCTGGGGTGTGAAGGCATAGATGGTGGTCCCAGCTCCAAGCGTGGCGAGGAGACTGGCGAGAAGACGGTTGTTTCGGAGAGTTGCAGCCATCACGGGACGAGTACGTGTAGTGACGAAGGTCCCAAGCTAGAAATCGACGCTTTATGTTGCAACTTTTATAGGCAAATTGCGGGGCATGTCCGCTATATCGGGGTCTAAATTCAAAGTACTAATCCATTGAAATTCATTGAAACAAATTCTAACATTTTTTTCCAGCCGAAGGACGAGCTACCCACGAAGTGCATCAACCCCGGCTGCCAGCACAAGCCCAAGAACTTTGCCCTGTTCGGCCGCAGCTACTAAACCGACCCGCCTGTTTTCTCTCCAAATTGTTGCTAAATTATGATTCCTCTCCGTTTCTAAGCTATGTAATCACATTGTTCTCTCGTCAAATGGCACAATCGGTTTATAAACGTTTTAATTCACGAGCTCTTTTGAGATTTCAAATGTTCTAACAAGCAAAAATACATGGCTATATGATGGTCCCGGGGCTAAAATCTGTTTAGTGATGGAGGTGAAGCCCATCTTTGTACGCGAAAAGCAAAATAATGACTTTTGCCCGTTCTGTGGCTCTATTCTACCCATGGCACCAGGTAAGCACGATTTTTGCACTTATTTAGGGAATCGGGAATCAAGAAAAATTAAATCAATCAAAGGTTCTGTTCTGCTTCGCGGAAAATTCCATCTTTTCGCGATTTTCTCGGGATTTTCAACGCCATTCGATAGAGCATCAAAAAAATATACCAAGAGTTTTTGTTTTAGCTAAAAATATTGTAATATAAAAAAGTCATAGCAAAAACCAAAAAAAACTATTGAAACTGGTGCCGGAATGTTAATTTTCGGCATTTTCGCCAGCTTTTCAATATTTTGAACCCGTCATTCGATAGAGCATCAAAAAATATACTACGAGTTTTAATTTCATCTAAAAATATTGTTTTATAAAATAGTTATAGCAAAAAACAAGGTTTATACGGTGTTTCCACGGGACCGTGGAGTCGAAAGCTAGGTTTCGACATTTTCGATATCTTTCAAAAATTCTTTTAATGCCATTCGGTAGAGCGTCAAAAAATATCCTAAGAGTTTTAATTACAGTTCAAAATAGCATCATATAAAAGAGTTATAAAAAAACGAAGAAAATCCCCCCCCCCCGCGAAACAGAACAGTACCCAATCAAAGTCGAGAACCGTCTGGCGCTAAATGCTTGACAAACAATGCGTTTCGGGGTGTAGGTACGGGAGCGAGAGGGGCCCGGGGGGCGGGAGTTGCTGCAAGGGGCGTCGGTCAAGGAGGAAAAGAACTTAGGCGCCGGCTCACCATTAGTTGCTCTTTTTTCTCTGCCTGAGAACGGGCGGGTCAGTTGAAAGGTCCGGAAATGTCGGGGGCAAGAGGGCAGCCGATTATTGGTCTTCATTTTGGTAGCAAAGGCAAAATACCCGGGCTTCAAATAGCTTGTAGAATGTTTGTAGCGCTACAATCCATCCGGATTCATTAAAATTAGATTATATCCAGTGACAGAGCCTAAATTTACATTTAGAACCCGGAGAAGTGGAATGTCGGCTATGCGGCACCGTTCTAACCATCAAGCCGAAGGTTGATCAATTGGTGTGCACCAGCTTCAAGGTATAAAACATCTTTATTTTTCATTTGATTTTTTTAGAACTACGAACGGACGGTGGCCGACTCGGAGAACGCCAAGCTGTCCGGCGGCGATGCGGAAGTGGATCATGTTTGCACAAAGTAAGGCGCCACTTCATTATACAGTACTTTCTCAGATGCGGACACGATCGAGCAACGTTTTCCACGATGCAAACCCGATCGGCTGATGAAGGGCAAACTGTATTCTACACGTGCCTCGACTGCAAGAACAAGGACATTGAATATTCCTGACCGCCCCCATTTTACAGCTGTCGTTGCTCCCCAATTCGTATTGTTGACTTTCTTGTTGAGTTTGTCGTTGACTTGTTTCATCCTTATACGCAGTAAAACCATCCTAGCCGTACCCATTTGAATAAAGTCGCGCTAGGATAACAATAAGGTGAAATCGAACCCTGAGAAGGGCCGCTTGGGCTTATTAGCGGGGCGAGCGGTGTGTGGCAAAGGGTCGGTATCCCGGGATACCGAGCCGTCTGTGGGCGCTGCTTATCCGGGCCTCATTGCAGTGTGAACAATGGCGGGCCTTCTTCCATATTCGCGATTTTAATCCGAGGATCCCCGTTCCGGCTAGAGCGTTGCAGGGCCAGCGGAATCTTGAATGGTTCATCATCGAGGCGTGATTGCTGGATTTTGGCGAGAATCTGACGCATCGATGTAGATCTGCAGCCGACAATTGCACTCCTTTTCGCCGGCGTCACGGTTCAAAACGAGGCTACTATGACACTGTTGCGAATAGGGCTGCAATCGGCCGGCGCGGAGGTTTTGGCCAGGATTTGACCATGCTCCCCTGGGCGAGCCATTTTTGCCAGCTGAGCCCGGGCTTAACTATCGCCGGAATCATTCCGAGAACATTGCGGGAATGTTCCGGCAGACCTCACGAAATCTTCCGTTCTATAACAGGCCCGATTGTCGCGCATCCACATCTGGGATTTACGTGCTGTTTTGCCACATCCGGGGCTGCTAGGGTACCCAAAATAGACTATTTTTGTGCTGATTCTGAAACTGAGCTAGCTCGTTTATCACCCAGTCCGTCAGATTAAATTTTACGGTCATGAGTAAGCTATCAACTTGGTGTGCCGACGCGCTTTATATGTATCTATCTCTTTTCTTTTCAACTAGAGTTGTTATAACTCAAACTAGACCTCCCGAACCCCCCTTTACCCCCCTACTTAGTGGGGTTGGAGGGGTTGGGTAGGGGGTTTGGGGGGTGGGCAGGGGTTTTGGGGAGTTGGGCAGGGGGTTTTGGGGGGTTGGGCAGGGGTTTTGGGGGTTGGGCAGGGGGTTTTGGGGAGTTGGACAGGGGGTTTTGGGGGGTTGGGCAGGGGGGTTTTGGGGAGTTGGGCAGGAGGGTTTTGGGGGGTGGGCAGGGGGTTTTGGGGAGTTGGGCAGGGGGTTTTGGGGGTTGGGCAGGGAGGTTTTGGGGGTTGGGCAGGGGTTTTGGGGGGGTTGGGCAGGGGGTTTGGGGTTTTTTGAGAGTTTTTTTTGGGGGGAGGGGGGGTAAACTATAAGTTAAAGGGCTGCCGACGGCATGTGTCGATCCCCCCTCATCAACAAATTGGCAAGTAGCCA